AGGTTATTACATATGCGTAGTTCCCTGGGTCTGCTTTCATATCATGCCCCAGCTTCCTGCAAGTAGAAGGTTACAATTATGCATGTTATTGAAGCTCCTAACTGCGAACCGAACTGCGTCGCTGCCAAAAACTTGAGTATAACTCTCGAGGCGTTGCTAACCCTGGCAACGTCCAAGGCAACCCCGCAGGAACGCTTAGAAGTATCCGAAACTTTCAAGCAGGTTGTAAAATACATCCAACATATATTAAAACACTCCCATGATCGCAGTGCCATTGATGCAGTATGCGACCCTATACGCATTCCTATGCCACTACCCATAGCCAATCCTCAAACTAGATCGCCGACCGAGGATTCGGAGCAGGACCAAGCGGGGGTCTCTGAATCATCTCAAACCTTCGGGCTAGAGGAAAACAAATCTGTTTCAGCACGCCAACTTTCGGAGGGACGTGTTGTTCTGACTCGAGACGATATGGGCGAGAAGATGCCTGAGACTCTCCACAGGCTGTTACAGAGCCCTGGGTTCAAAAACCCAGCAACACTGAGTTTTATCGGCGAGGAAACTGGGAAAGAATGCATACGCCAGGCCATGGAACGTGAAAAACACCCAGATGTGCGGTACAATCTCATCACACCACGAGCAGAGGGCGGCATGAAGGTTACTAAGAGCGAACCTCCCTCAGGTGACGCCGCGGAGCTCCCCATCGTCAATCTCGACAGTTCGCTTCCCTACACCCCCCTAGATGAAGCTGTGGCCTCTCGAAAGACCAGAACCGTGTGCCACTTCGCCGGCATCATAGACTGTGATCACCCCATCTACAAGAATACTCCTTTACATTCCGGCCCGTTGCTAGCAGGCATGGCAAACGTGCTCACACACGCCAACCAGACATACACACATTTTGGCGATGCGGGGTCCGCTACAGCGATGCACAAGGAAGATGACCGTTTCCTCTCCTGTAACGTAGTTCTCTTTGGCCTCAAGAAATGGGTCATGATTCGAAAAGAAGAGACAGAGAAGTTTGAGAATTGGGTCTCCATGTATAACAAGACATGCCGTTGTGATCAATTTGTTCGACACTTGAACATCTTCTTCAACCCAGAGGAATTACAGAAGGCTGGGATTGGCTACGATATTATCACCCAAGGTCCGGGTGAGCTGGTGGTCACTCAGGAGTATCAGTACCATCAAGTCTTCAACATTACGCCAACGCTAGCTATCGCAACCAATTTTCTACCGCCCGGGGTACAGCCGAGGGTCAAGAGTGAGCAGGAGCGGCTCAAGGTCTGCTCTTTGTGCGGCATTGGTGGTTTGTATGGACTGGAGGAATTTTATGTTGACTGGGTAGATGATACTTTTCGGCCGGATGGATCACAGAAGAGGAAGTTGATGATTGGTCATGGGAGTGCAAGGAGGAGGAGGAAAACAAAAAGATGGGAGCCTGCTGTTTCGGCCAGGCAGACCAGACAGTTTACCAGACGACACAAGGCGGAGGACAGGGTGACAGATGATCGCGGAACTGTTGATAGGGTGGTGTCTAGGAGACTAGAGACGGTAGTGAATGGAACGGCAGATGACCGAGACGCTGGCCAAGAGGACGGGCCAGCGAACGATGTCATGCGACGCGCCATGGAAGAACTAGAGCGTGATGGCGAGTTCTTCCTGATACCAGAACTCTCTAATAACACAAACGCAGGTACTCGAGTGAATCGTCTCGCGATGGCCGTCTTAAGCAAGCACGCCATTGAGCAGTTCATCACTGCCATCAAGGTCTCAAAACAGAAACCAGAAGACTTCAGGCGCACGCCGATCGTTCCTCTCCAAGATGGTATCAACACAGAACAGCAAATCATCAAGTTAGTAGCTGAGAGGGTCAAACTCATATCTGGAGACGAAAACAAGGGCAACTACTACACCATTCTGACTCGACACAACCTGTTCCAGTTTGCAACCCGCTACGCCCTGTTGAGAGGTGAGCGTCAACACATCAGAAAAGACGTTCTCGACATGGTCGCAGAAATAAGTGGTTGCACAAAAAGCACGATCCAGAAGCGAGCCCAGATCGGAGATAAATGGAAGATGGTCTGTGGCAGGTTGACCGACGGCGCTGGACTATTGGCCTTCTTGCCCTGCCGGGACAGCCCTTTCGACGTGAGCCAGTCTTTTTACTTGGATTTGGCAAAGGAGAAGAACAGGGCGGATTTGGACATGTTTCATCGGTTACTGGATCATCAGTACGTACACGAGCTGTGCATGATTGCGAATACGTGGTTTGATGCGGTAGATGGCGGAAAGGAGCTTGTCGATGTGGAGGATGTTGATGTGCAGATGTCAGATAAAGATGAGATCATTAGGTATCTTTGGCGTTTGGTGCAAACGAAAGATAGTTAAGCATATTATGTCTATAGGATCAAACGCCATCGCGTCGAAATAAAGAATGATTCTCGATCCTGACATAATCATCACGGCAGAGAATGATTGGTGGAGAATCCCAGCCGTCCATAAGCTAAACATCGGTCTACGCATCCCTGCTTGGCTGCTTTTCTCTCTGGACACTATCTGGGTGCCTATGAGACTGTAGCAAGAAAGACACCATCAATCCATCTATTGAAATGCTGTTAATGCTCCCGAAATAATCTCTTTTAGTCTCTGACATTGTCACAACGGCTCCAGCCTGAAAGCCCTAGTTGTGTCTAAATGCTCGTAGCGCATAGAAACCTTGTGTATCTGTTCAGAGCTTGGCATGGTCAAAGAAGCCGAAGAAAGATCCGCTGACGATCTGGTCCAAGCATGGCAACACCAAAAACGGTGTCATCTTGTTTTAGGCTTTCACTGTCGGCAATCGGTGCTAAAGCACATCATCCAAGCCTGAAGCGTCTAAGGATTAAAATATGAAGGTTTTGAGGCCCCATATTGCTTTCTACTTTTGAAGAGTGAGACAGCTTAAGGTTCAAGCAGCTTAGAAATGACCCCCTCGACTTGGAGGCAGAATGAGGGGATTAGAGGCGTACCGAATTGATCATGCTGAAGTCTTGGGCCTCGAAACGGACAACGTGAGGCATTCCAAAGCTGCTGGGATGGAATATCCGAACATCAGCTTTTGCGGCAGCATCTTGTATAATGTGTGGATAAGACAAGACCGCAGATCCTACAGCACTGACGACAACATCAACACCTGCAAGCATCGAACTGAGGCTAACTGCGTCAATCAGAGTGACTTCCACCCCATAAACGGTCAAATTAGAGACCCAATGATCAATCTTCGAAGAAGACTCAGGTCGAATGAAAGCAACTAGATTGAAGGGCCGTTCTGGATATGCAATTGATGTATGGAGGATCCGGTTACGAAGTGTTCCATTGGCTCCAAAAAGCGTAACTGTCGTCTTAGGCATAGTAGAATGGTAGGTTTGTAGAGCTTGCTAGATGGCGTGGATGAATGGAAAGCTGTGGAAGAAATTCATATTATGTTCTAATATTTCTAATACAGTGAAAATAAATCCAAATCTGTAACTACGTCATCCTGAGACGTAGGTCTTGGTCAGATCTTGCACATGAACCTTTTGTCCCCCAGGTTTTTGAAGGCCGGTTATTGGAATCTGAGATTGTGTCATGTCTTCGTGATGTCTCTAAATGAACTGTTGGTCAAATGTATGGTATCAAGGAATAGCGAAATCTCACATTCTAGCGAGGATCGATCTTCTCCTATCTTCCTAGAGCGGTTGAATCATATTCCTGGCGTCACATAGGCACAAAATGTATCATGCATCATCACACAAAAGCATCAAGTGACAGCAGGGTAAGCCAATGATAAGCGCTAAGGAGAAACAAAGAGGCAGCGATACGGCAGTTTTCCAGTATGTTGCGATAAGTATGGCTCACTAGTAGGTTGCAGGCCTCATTTTTTGAGCCATTTACACTTGTTCTACTATCCTGCCGCGGCATGCATGAGTTAGCCGACTCACACCCACTGCAAAAGGTGCGACACACCGCTATTCAAAAACGTCATGTGCTTCCTTCAGCCTGCTTCGCTCAAGCAACTTATGCAAGCCGAGAACACGAGGGTAATTCAAATAATTAACACGCGGTAATTACTCAGGAGAAAATTGGTTTCCTCACAGGCTGTAAGCGAGACCATATGACACGTACTTCGATTTGCGGACTGGCAAGTCTCTTGAAGCCTATGAACAGTTGTGATATGAAGGGTCGATGAGGTGAGAAATACCATAGCAGCCTGAAAATGAAATCATTTACAAGGATATGTTGTTAAACAGAACACTGTCTTATATCAAAGACAAATATAGGGCACGGCTCGGCTTGGCAGTTGATTTGCTCCACTCCACCAATACACCAAAATATGTGGTGGCCGACTACCAGTAGCCATGCTACACGCGAAGGACACTTTTGCATGGGAATCTATCGTGAGAAACCTCTAAAGTGTTTGAGATAACCTTATTGATGCTCTATAGTGTTCTTCGATTTGCGATTAAGATCGCCAGCCCGATAGATAATGAATCACAGCGAACTTTCTCCTTCACCTGTTACTCAAAAGATCGACACATGGCATGTTGTTTGTTTTTGGAACAAACTCATAGGAAGGTTTCGGATGAGTAGAACTCTGGCGACCTAGCTGTCTCAGTCGTGTTTGCCTTGCAATCAGTCAATCGCCGATAGGGGCAAGAAGCTTTGATGAATTAAGATCCTTCTGATTCATTCCGCTTGGTGGTCGGCTGCAGACTCGAGGGCTTCACCGACTTTCTTGTTGCCGAGAAAGGAATCATTCGGGCTCAATTCTTGGAATGGTTTCGAGGATAATGTAGTGCACGATAAGATTGGCAACGGGACAGTATGACGTAGTGTGTATACAAATATCATTCGTATTACCATGCTGTCGGTTCTGAAGCCTGGCACGGATTTCTACCCAAGTACTCTTACCAGGAAAGGATTTCAAAATAAGTTCCCCTGTCAATCTTATTCTGTTAACTTGTAAGAAGTATCAAAAAATGTCTCTGCACCTTTCCAAGCAACAGAAGGTCTGGGCCACTATCGATGAGCTCGTCTCGGCCAAGAAAAGGGTTGAGCTTGACGGGACGTCGCTGTCGATTGCTGCATTGATCGCCATATCTAGGTAAAGCTCAGCACATGTCCATCCATAATTAAATCGTATCTCTGATTGTGACAGATATGGGCTACCCTTCACGGTTTCTAAATCGCATGAGCTTGCCGGGCGGATGAGCAAAAGCATCGATGTTCTTAACGAAAACCTCGACAAACACGATATCATTTATGGTTTGTGTAAACGCATCCCCTTATCGAAAGCAGTTAATGATTCAACCAACAGGTGTGAACACGGCTCCCGGCGGAAATGCAGACTCCCGAACAAGAACCAGCAGTAGGCTTCAACATTCATTTTTCCAGCATCACCAAGCAGGTATTCTCCCAGAGACTGTATCAAGTTCGGCAGGGCAAACCATCAATCCGCAAAGCCTTTCTGAAACTATGGTACGAGCACTGACGGTTGTGCGATGCAACTCCCTTGTGAGAGGCCACTCTGCCATTAGGCAGGGCGTAGTAGAGTCACTGGCCATGATGACCTCTCAGGGCATCACGCCACTGATTCCAACCCGCGGGAGTATATCTGCCTCTGGAGATTTATCCCCCCTCTCATATCTCGGAGGGCTTCTGGAGGGGAACGAAGGCATTTATGCTCGTGTACCCGGTCCTCATGGCCATTCGAATATAGTTCCCGCCCGTCAGGCACTAGAAGCCCTGGCTCTACCGCCCGTGGCTCTGGAGCCGAAAGAAGGTCTTGCTATCATGAATGGCACCGCTGTCAGCACTGGATACGCCGCTCTAGTGATTCACGATTGCCATGACCTGGCCATCATTTGTCAGCTGCTTACTTCGATGGCCGTCGAGGCTCTGTCTGGCATGCGGAGCAATTTCCATCAGTTCATTTCCGAAGTACGGCCCCATGCTGGTCAAAATGAGGTCGCAAGCAATATTAGAGATTTCTTGAGTGGATCAAAGCTTTGCAGTGCCGACGATATCGACTCTGAAGGTTTGGCACAGGATCGCTATGCGCTTCGAACTGCACCCCAATGGATTGGTCCACAGCTGGAAGATTTATGTTCAGCTGAGGCCCAGATTTCGGTCGAACTAAATTCGACAACGGACAATCCCCTCATTGATGTCTCAAACAACTGTGTTCATCATGGTGGTAATTTCCAGGCCGCTTCAATAACCTCTGCGATGGAAAAGTCACGCACTGCCATTACTATGCTTGGAAGACTTTTGTTCGGCCAGTCTGGAGAGCTCGTCAACCCAGACTTGAACAAGGGTTTGCCTCCAAACCTTTCCGCAGATGACCCTACAGTCTCATTCACCTGCAAAGGTATCGAAATCAACATGACTGCATACTATTCAGAACTGTGCTTCTTGGCAAACTCCGTCGCAAGCCATGTTCAGACAACAGACCGAAACAATCAGTCGGTGAACTCGCTTGCTCTGGTATCGTCAAGAATGACCGAGAAAGCGACCGAGCTACTAGCCATGATGTCCGCTACTCATCTATTCACACTATGTCAAGCCCTGGATTTGCGTGCGCGTGACGAAGACTTTCTCCAAGAAGCTCACAAGTTGATGCGAAAGAATTTTACAGATCTCTTCACTGGGACTCTCAATATTGACGAGATATCAACCGCTGTCGCCTCTCTGTGGACAACCTTCCGTTCATCATGGCAGAAGAACAATACACTCGAACCAAGCAAAAGATGCCAGCAAGTCTCTTCCGATATCGTATCATATCTGATGGACAAGTTCGACTTCTCGACTGGAAAGCTTGCACATATTCTCCAACGGCTTCAGGGTTGGCAGAATGTTCTACGCAATGATCTAGTATCTGAATACGCCTCAGTACGAGATGCCTTCTTCATCAAGCAATCGACTCATTTGTATCTATCAAAGTCCACTGTCAGACTGTACAATTTTGTCAGGAACCAGTTACAGGTTCCTTTTCACAGGGGACTACCTGATCACCCTCCTCTGAAAGACCAGAGCGAACACAAGCAGGCTGCTGAAACGATTGGGACGTGTGTTTCTCGGATCTTTGTAGCTATTCAGGACAAAACTATAATTGAGGCCATCAAAGAATAGCGAGCAAGGATGGATGACTAGTATCTGGACTGTCTCTACTAGAGTTTAATTTATTTTGCTATCGTATAGTCTCTGAATCTTGGCAGGCCACTCCTTTGCGTAACCCGTCCTGTTCAAGTGCAGATCAAAAGCCTCATACGTATCACTCAATGCATACATGCAGAGCGTTCAATTGTTTTAAATCAACCAATCTATTTCATGATTCTGGCAATTAATCCTTATATGAATGTATGTCCTTGGCTTCAATCTTGCTACTATCAATCTGATTAGACTTCTTAAAGATATCATGACAAGATCAAAGGTGTTTACAACGTTGCTAGCGTAGACTCCCCTGAAAGGGCTGTTGCTTTATTGATAGCAACTCCTGTGTTCAATTTGATCTTGAGGTATATGAGAATGTTCATTAAGACCTGAGTATCGATCGCGATCTAAGTAGCGATCACGATCTAAGTCTCGATCGCGATCTAAATATCGATCACGATCCAAGTATCGATCATGATCTTAGTACTGATCACAATTCAAATATTAATTAGGACAAAAATATTAGTCATCATGGCAATATTACAGAGATCATAACCTCTTCCATCTCAAAAGTACAATCTAGTCATACAATAAAGAGCAACAAATTCCCACTTACAAACCATCATTAGTACCCTCCGCATCGCGATGGCACCTCAATATGGCCCGTCACGACTGAACTTTAGATCAAGTCCAAACTTCATTAGAGTCTCTGTGGCAATGGGCCTCTTTACCGATCTCCTTCTTCACGGCATTATAGTGCCTGTACTTCCCTTCGTCTTACATGATCGACTTCACCTTCCCAACTCTCAGGCCCAATTATGGGCATCAAAACTGCTAGCCATATATGCAGCATCTACCGTTATATTCTCCATTCCGTCGGGATGGCTTGCCGATAGATGCAGTACTCGTCGACTCCCATACCTTATTGGCCTGTTTCCATTAATTATAGGAACCGTTCTTTTTAGCCTTGGCCGATCTATGGCAGTTTTGATCCTCTCAGTACTACTTCAAGGTACATCAGCTGCATTAGTACGTTCAGTTGGGTTTGCTATGGCTCAGGAAAGTATCGGAGGAGTAAATACGGGAAAGGTCCTTGGGACGGTGCGTATTTTCCCATAACAGATGTCAGGCATATGGCTCACGAACCAGATCAATTCCTTCGGCATGATCGCACAGGTCATAGCTCCCATCGTCGGGGGCGCTTTATATAATGCCACGGGCATGCTTGGAGTCTTCATAATCTCCTTAGGGGCGTTAACAATCGACTTGGTCCTACGGCTGCTTGTCATGGAAACGAACAAGGATACGAGCAACGAAACAAATGAAACTCCGCAAAACAACACTTCTAGAACATGCGAGCCAGAAAGCTGGGACTATATTACTGAAAACCGAGCTCTACTTCCAAAGGCTAATGACACAGCGGGTGAGCCTGATGGCGATATTGGACCTTTAGTGCAAGCCATACCTGTCCTATACTGTTGTCGTCACTCCAGGTTCGTGATAGCCATGGTGTCATCAGCTACCGCGGCAATGTTTATTGGCATGCTTCACGCCACCATTCCTACTGAGGCAAGCCGTTTCCTGCATTTCTCACCTCTTCAGGTCGGGTTCCTATTTATGGCATTCGTCGCCCCTTGTTCGCTTTGTGGTTGGTTTGTGGGATGGGCAGTTGATAAATATGGGACTAAGATAGTGGCGACTGTTGGTTTTACGTTTCTGGCATTTCCTCTTGCTGTCCTTGGTTTACCTTTTCACGAATTCGTGGCAGGGCACGCAAAGGCGGGACTGTTTAGCATCATTTTATTACTGAACGGGATCGGGCTGTCAATAGTCATCTTACCTAGCTTCGTGGAGGCGAGCAGCGTCTTGCAGAGCTGTAAGAAGGCCAACTCTAACGTCTTTGGGGCTAAAAGCTCCTATGCACAACTGTTTGGTTTTCACTCGGCTTTCTTCTTCCTTGGGCTTGCCGTTGGGCCAATACTCGGACTTCCATTAACGAAGTACGCTGGATACACAGGCACAGGAATTGGCTTTGCATTTCTGTCGGTCGTTATGGCAGTATTGTCGTTTCTGTTTATAGGTGTCAAGAAAGAAACAAGAGATGGGCGTATGTAATATCCAATACAGACGACTAAGCGATCAGTTCAGTACGATGTATATAAATATGTTTGCGATGATGTATGTTACTACGTGATGTCTAAGCTTAGCAGTGACGTTTTGCTCTGAATTAGCTTTTCTCTTCAACCCTGTCCCTAAGTTGGGGACATTGAAATCATATGGTTATGAGAAACGGGCCTGGTGTCGCATCGGGGGACCATTAATGGAAGTCAAGGATAAGAAAGGTCGTGATGCCTCCTCTTTAGGTACAACTTTCACATTACTCCGTCTTTACCGGTAATTTACTTGCTTCACGAAGTAAGTCGTGTAACACATCGTCACTGGTTGACACAGTTTGAGCTGCCACCTTCGCCTTCCTGTCCATTCACCCTTCATTTCTAAAAACCTCAGTCTCGCTCATAGATGAATATAAATAGGTGATGCAAGAGATGGAATTTCTTGTCATTTCAATGGAAGCCATTGCTTTGCTACTAAGCCTCTTTTTACACGGACAGACATATGTTGACAGTACGTATGTGGGTACCTTGGCATGTTAAGCCGTCTCCATGTTTTGAGCTAACACGAGAACAGTGATGCGGTCATGGCTATCTGTGTTTTCAGCTTGCAGCCATGTGTATCATCATCTGGTCTGCCGATCTCTTCCGAAACCAAGTAGCAATTAGGGCAAAATACTGAGGCATGATACTCTTTACTACCAAGCAAGTAACATCCATTCTTGGCTTCCGGTTGTCACAGGATCCTATTACCAAAAGCGAAGCCTAGACTGCTGCACCTTCGATATCAACATCTGATTTCGCTTCATCTGTGCCACGGAGATTCCTTGAGTCTAACTTAGGCCACCCTAGTTTCGAGAGCTTGGTTGCAATTCCCACCCTACAGTAAACAGACATCCGTCAAGTCTGACCTCAACCATTCTGATGATGATAACGCCTGCTATATCTCAGCTATTCGATTATCACCCCTTCAGTGACTATTCTATGTAAATAAGCACGTGGTGCTAAGATTGGTGAAGCTGCCCGATTTCTTTGGAGCCTTTTGTTGCAATGAGACCCTCGCTGCACATCAAGCTTCAACGTCGGAGTTAAGTATAATGCCAACTTTCCCTAGCTCCCCTAATGGATTAGAACCATCAGTTTATGGAAGAATTAGGTTTTATCCACATTATGTTACATGCATCGGGGTCGCAGCCCTCACGCCTCTTGCGTCTTGAAACGCCTCCTGCAGCGTCTCACTGCCGTACTCTACAACTTTCCGATTATCAGACAATGTCCCAATGACGGCGGAAAAGCCATTCGCTGGTGGTGTATCGATTATCAATAATGTGGTGTTACCAGGGACTAGACTGGAAACACAGCAGCTGCGGAATTTAGTAGGAATTTAGAGAGGAAACACGCATGTTGAAGGGATGCCAAGCTTCAAAACCAATCGCTATGAATCGTCGGTACCATTCGATGCAACGTCAGATTTGAATAGCAAGTATGTGAAAGTTGCATTCTATTCCATTATGTTCCATATCCCCCCTCCTCAGGTCCTATGCAAGTCTAGTTACAAAGCCAGAATTTTGCCAGAAAGTGGTCCATCTCTGAGACACTTTCCAGCCCACCACGAAAGGCAACGTGCTGATCCGGTCGGATCAACATGATGCAGCCCGTTTTGGGGATGGCCAAGTCCCGATACACCATACCACCAAGTCCAGTGTGAGATGCCGTGTCCACAAATATCTTCGTATAGTCGATTCCCATTGGACCCTGACTCGGCGTGAAGATCCTCGGAAGATCATCCAGCTCAACAATGTCACGCGATGCGCAGTGGATGAGAGTGAGCTCGATGCTGGAGAAACCGCAGCCTCTCGATGCTCGATTGATCTTCCCCACAAGAGAGCTAGATCGAGATAGGCTCTCCGCAATCTTATGGACACGGCCCATCTGACACTTTTTGGACACATTTCCGCCAAAAATGAGTAAATTCCATCGACCAGCTTTGTTTAGGATCTCGTGCATGCGCCACGGGCGGCCATCACTGTGATTCAAGACCATCATGTCTGGGAGCCTGGAACCTGCTCTTAGAGCCCGATCGGAATCTAAATCATGAATCTGAGTCTCATGTACGAGAAGATTTGGTCGATAGACAACCCCCAGGCCTGAAGCAGACGAGTTTTCTTCTTGGATTGTTTGCTTCATGGCTTCGCAATCTTGATCATCTGGCTTGAGGGACACCATTCTGTAAATCCTCTTGTCGAAATCAAGAAGTGCTTGTCCCACAGGTAGCCTTTCTTGCTGATATGTCTCAAGAATAGCAGGCGTTGCAGAGCCGAGCACTACAGAAGAGATCTTCCATCCGATATTGAAAGCATCCTGCATACTTGTGTTCATACCTTTTCCGGCTTTGGGTGTGTGCGTATGAACTGCATCGCCAGCAAGAAAGACGCGATCTCGGAAAGAGTATTGCCGACAAAGTCGTTGCCCGACATGCGTCACATCAGCTTTGAAGGACGCAACCAGGAAAACAAGACTGACTTACTGAATAGACACTGGCCCAATCGATTATTGAGCAAGAGAAATGGTACGGTTTAAGAATTTGAGTAACCTTGTCTATGATAATGCTGGTCTGTTTCTTCTGGTCTAGTGCTCGGGAAGATGACGATAATTGAACATAAAACCTGACCATACGGCGCTCTCGAGGTATCAGCATGGCACTTCCCGAGGCAGAGTGTATGACGCATCGTTTTCTGACGTCAGCTTTTCTTGTGTTAGCCATATCAACCTGGTTTGCAGTTTGATGACGCCCTACGAAAATTGGTAATGGGGATGCAGTCGATCACTCCCCAATGCTCGTTCGCACTTTCGCCTTCGAGCTTCAAATCGCATTGTTTGCGGACCCAGCTATGGGACCCATCGCAACCAAGCAAGTAGCGAGCTTGAATTATGTTCAGTGGGCCTTGCATCGGCTCATGTCCCTCGTCCTTGTTGGAGTATTTACCGCCACAACGAGCTATCTCCAGTTGAATCGGATAGTCTTCCACTTGACTACCTCCCCTGGTGACAAATCTCAAGTTATGTGGCTCGTAAGGTCTCAGGACGGTGACATTCTGGTGAGATTCGATAAAGTCCAGAAACAGTTGTTGAACACGACCCTGGGCTAACGTTGACTCAGCATACGATGAATGGTATTCACCCCCACTGATCATATTCGGCCGTGTGAATACTCGACAAATTGAACCACCCTGGTCGTTCTAAACCTTCCATTAGCCAACATTTCAGCTTTCAACGGCGGATCCACGGGGGAATAGCTATACTCTGGCCTAGAGTTCGTTCCATGTTTGCATCTCAGGTGAGAACGTACCCAGTATGCTATCTCAACAGTCTTGTTTGACTCTTTCCACGCAGCATCCACAAGACCAAATGTTTCAAGCACTTCGAAAGTTCGACATTCGATGCCGTCTGCATGCCCCGACTTTGGAGGTGAAGAATCCTTGTCGACGAGGAGGGTCTTGATACCCGAGATGGACATCCAAGCTGCTGCGGTGAGACTATTAGCGCATGTGTGATTAGCTTTACTTATATTAATTCGTGCTGGTAGAGGATTTCTTTTACCCAGCGGGCCCAGCCCCGACGATAACCACGTCGTACTTATCGTGCATGTTTCTTCAGGCGGAGCAGAGATCAGTAGGTGTCATAGGCAAGGATAGTAGGTTGACAGCACTGCTCACTTGGTCGATAGATAGGAGTTCTGAGTCAAATGATCAATCAGGATGCGTAAATCGTGGGATCTTTATATGAAAAGAGAATAGTCGTGCTTGGGGCAATCAGTCTGTCCGACACTCGAGAAGACGCGAGTTGACTGCAAGATGAGTATTGCGCACGTCCCTTGTGAGACATTCTTGCATCACGACTCAAGTTCTTCCGGTGAGACGCATCGACCGCTAGTCTCGCAGTCGTATTAGATTATGAGGGGTGTTGTGAGGACAAGATATTTTCCCGCGGCCCACAATGCGGTGTGAGTGCGGGATCCATTTTGAGTCAGCATTATCTTCACATTGGATATAACCGCTCTTTGACAAAGACTTTGGTGAGGATCTTGGAATAGTTGGTGCCAATGTAGTACGAGTTTGAGCTATAGTGTAGAATTGATCAGATTATGGCTCATAGATGATTGTCGCTCGAGCTAGCTTTTTGCAAGGGTAAGGAACGGATAATCGATGTTGTATTTGTTCTATTGATGTTGTCTTCAACTTGCCAAAAAGAACAAGGGTCGACATTCCACTATCTACAAGGAACAAGGCCCTGTCCGAACAACGACTTATATGGTGCGGATGACTTGCAGTGAACTCGACGTCGCGTAAACTTAGCTCTGTTAGAATCTTCACACTGTCCTTTGAGACTTCACGATGCCTCTTGGCAGCGCTGCCGTCAAACGCGTTATTTGCGATCTCGTGCGGCTGAATGCTGAAAATCGCCTAGCCATTCTGCCTTGTCTCAGCCATGCTCCAATCCCCGTTGTAGTTTCAAGCCACTACATACCCTATACCCTTTCTATGCTGTTTTACAATGGCCTTAGTCTTCGCTTCTCAAATCCGTTGTCGCGGCGAGGTGTGATGCCAGTTTTATTCTTTGACTGTAGTTTCCTGTGGAAGTGCACTCCGCCCTCCACCATGTGCAATCATGGTCGCGTGTTCAGCGCACAATAGCTAGGACTATTGGCAGTTACTCCCGGTTAAGACAAGTGGCAGTAACCCTTCACCGCTCATGAAGCGCTTTCGCGCATTTATCGTCGAGAGGGTGCCCAGCGTCGAGGTTCAATTGGCTTATGCTGCAGATGAGATTGTGATTGTCTGCACTAGGCCCGGCGTATCACCAACATCTTCCCAGCGCCCAAGACTAACTACAATGGGAATCGTGAATGCGGCTCTGCGGAAAAGTCCTTGGACTTTCAAGCCTGCCAGTCATTGTGAGCTGCGCCCGAGGCATTTAAACTCCTGGAGCGGCAGGATATTCTGCCTTACCAGATCTACCTTACCCAGACAAATCTGCCTTACGCCCCATACACGAGAGCGATCATGCCAGAGGCCTGTTTCCCCGACTACCAACTTTCTGGGAAGGCGCTGCAAACTTGGCTACAGCGCAGGTTCAAGGATGACACGATCGTTGTCGAAGTGAGCCTCATCTACCTTGCAACCCAGTCGCATACAAGCGCGCTAAACGGTGTCTCAAATGCCAGTCTAAAGATGGACAATATGTGTTTACCCTGCCAGAAGGCCAGGAACTGACCGAAGTTCGTATCACACGGCCTGGAAGTGGATTTTGAGCTGATCACTGTTGAAACAGGATGACGAGCAGGACATTTGCGAGCTGCGCACCAAAAAGAAGAAGAAATGAGGACCGGTGGGTGCACGTAAATCAGGCTGTGGACTGTTGACAAACGTTCGGGATAAAGTCACAGTGTGTTCATTCCAGCAATGTTAGTGGCTGGAGGGCTAACCTTTTCCGCTTAAATAAACAACCGTCAAAATGCCTTGAACCGTATAATAGATGCTTTGATATCCTCTATGATTAAAATTCTCTCCATCAAATTCGTTTCTCAAGCCTCTTCCAAAACCTCCTTCTTCGAACAATGGATAAATATGATCTACTGAAGCAGCACTGTGAACAGTGGGAGTCGTACCCCTGTAACTTGCTGAACCCATGTCAGAGGCCAGAGGTCCTCAACAGTTATCGCTTATTTCTTGAAGCACCAAAATCAAGGCTGTTTAATGAGAAAAGCGAAGACATACATATCATAGATCAAAGCGATACTCTAAAAGGTATGTTGTCTATCCCATTTCATCAGCTCGCGGAGTTGCTTTCGCAGTATCTAATGGCCTCCTAGGATACAGTGAACAAGGGGTTGAGAGCCCCGCTGATCTACGCAAGCACTTGCAGCAGAACCGAAAGGATCCCCAGTTCTGTATGGTGTAAGTACATACCGCACCTCGACAGGGCCGAAATGGACACAGATTAACTAATACCCACAGCTTCATTGGATCGAACTCTTCGCGCGATCGCTTGAATTGCTCGCGTGAGAGTTATTCATTCTTGTCTTCTTTCTACCAGGTTGGAGCGAGCTTTGTGGACTTTTTGTCGTCCTTTGGTGTTAGTAGCGAGCCTCTTGACTACCATATGACAGGGTTTAACAGCTACGATACTCTTGACGCGCCCGAGGACAAAATTGCAAAGATCCCGGAGCTCGGCCGGTCAGGTCGGGAGCATACTGTGCAGTATTTGCTGCGGTCGATTGAGGAATCAACTGATCATGAAGGGCAAGTCGTTTGGAACATTCGGCAAATGGCGGTCCACCATAAATACGACTTTGGCCAGGGAAAGACATTTTGGCTGAATATCAAGGCCAATAGTGTCATGCAAGAGAGGATCAAAACAGCCATAGCAGAAGAAACGTCACCAAGCTCCGCTGTAGCCAAGGACTTACCGGGATCCTTTGCAGCCACTCTGCTGACACATCTCATTCATCTAGAGTGGTGTGACGAGTCATGGCGGAAATGCATCAATCACTTCGAGATTGAGATCCGAAAGGTACTGAAAAAGGCCAAGACAGCCCGGATCGACAAGGACCCTAATTTGAGATTAAAAACTCTCAAGCGCATATTGACGAACAAGACTGAAGCTGCAGAAAGCCCAAACGCGCTGGCTCGATGGGCTCAGAAACCCCTCATCTCGTACTTTTCTCCAGCCAGTGAGAAGGGAACATGTTCGTCTGCTGTGCAACCTGTGGCGTCCAACAAAGCGGGGCACCCAGCGAATGAGGAGGACACTGGACTTGCCAAGCAGCTTGAAAGCCTGATGGTCCTTGAGACATTTTCATTCAAGGAGTTCCAGCATCTGCATTTCTTGGCCGACCAGTTGGAGAGTTTCCGCCTGGTGATGCAGCTTAATCGTCAGGCTCTTCGAGACATCATTGAGCACTATGAGGATCTAGCAAGTCGTACTAACTTTCCAGAGAAGATCAAGATCTCCTGTAAGAACGAACTGGCTTCGTTTTCTCGCCGCGTGGAGCGCATCAGAAAGAATCTGGAGATACGGATCACCCAGGTAGAATCACTGCTATCTAGCCTGCAGCAGGGCAAGGATTTGGTAAGGTCTTGCAGAACCCGCAGCCCACCACCTGCTGATCATTTCTCTCTCAATCAGTTCGATGGCATCTTACAGTACCGCAGTGTGCAGGTCAGCCGCATCTTCACAGAGAGCTCGCACACGCAATCGGAAAAGATGGAGCGGATCGCCTACAAGACTGAGAAGGAGACGATCTCGATGCATGTTATCACCTGCGTCACATTAGCATTTCTTCCTGGTACATTTGTAGCTGTAAGTACCTTGCCATGTTTACTTGTTCTGTGAGGCTTTGCTGACCATAGTGACTCGTGTCCAAGGCTTTCTTCCAGAGTGGGCTTGTCGAGATCAATCAGACTGCCACGGATATCCGGGCTGCGGTGACTTTCCATCCGGGAGCATTCAAGCTCTTCGCTGCCATATGCTTCCCTCTTATGTGCCTTACTTTCATCTTGTGGATGTTTCTATTCAAGTACCTTTCTGGTAGAGCACTAAAGCGGTCGAAAGAGGAGTCTTTGGGGATTGTCTGAGTACAGCACGTCCACGAGCATACCATTTCTCATCATAACACGCACAGTGTCAGTAAACATACAGGGCAGTCTAGAGACCCACAAAAAGACACAATTATCAATAAATCCCTGCTTCGCTCTTCATCAGCCGCAAGGCAACCTTGCGCCTTACTGCCTGGTCTTGCCCACCAATATGTTATCTCTTTCTGAGACATTCTGCAAGGCGGCTCACAGGGTTGACCAGAGCTTGAAAAGTCTACTCTCTCAATTGGGCACATCGTAGTTCGTTGATGGGCGCCCTCAACCGTCTGGCCCTATAAGGACTTCTGTGGCTCATGACCAGAAGCATATCACTCAGGTAGGCCAGTAATATGATATCACTTTCTACATCGCCACGTTTGTGTAAGGCATTCTGCACCTAATTCAGGGCAAGGCAAGTAATTAAGGCGCAGCAGGTACATCTAAGTGCTAAAAGGCGACGGCTGCCTGCCTTCACCCACCATCCCGTGACCTATAACTTGATCCCCGACCCCAATCAGTGACTCTCACGCTCTCATTTGGTACACCATTACACCCATCAACCTTTTGCCTTTCGCTACACACACCTCAAAAGTGGCAAATACGTCAACTTCCATTATTCCCGTATTGGTAGCCATTTGTGCCACTGAATATTCGTCATACGTCGGCGCGTTGCATAGACAGGAAGTATGCTCGAACAAACCATGGATCACTTTCATCAACACATTGCGGAAAACCTACGCGAGGGCATCAATGGCGATGGCGAGAAGGTCCCCTACGTTATACCATCCGCTTTGGACAATTACTGGACAGAACGACGTGTCGATGCCATCTTGAACTCTCAACAGCCTCCAGTCGCATCAAGTCCAGATATGATTATCAGCGATTTCCCTCGTGTTTTCTCTATCCTGACGCGCATTGGGCAACCACAAGAAATTGAGTGGTTATGTTCTCACGTGAAAGGCCTTGATGACCGCCGATTACCCTTCGATGAAAGTTGTTTCCCCACGACTTGCAAATGGGCGGGTGATTTCCTACAAGAGCAGTGGATGTTCATACCTCTCTTCTTTCCGCCAGACAAAATCTTCAGTCGTGTCGTGCATCCCAAGACCATATTACCTGTTACTTATAAGAGGCAACTCACCCAGAAACGTGGCGGACGCGATACAGCCACGTTGTGGGAGGTGCAAGTACATCCTGGAGGAAGGCTGGCAACATCAGAAAACCAGCCTGTTGTGTTCAAGGTCTACGAGGGCGCTGGGACAGAAGACCTCTACAAAGCCGAGACAGATGTTTACCTTAAGCTCCGCGCCAAGTACAATAAGTATATCACGCAGCACCTTGCTTCCTTTTCATTTCTGGGAAAGAGGAGACACATTATTGTTCTCGAGTATGCAGCCGGAGGGTCCCTCAAGGACTTCTTCAAGAATACACCTATACCTGCCAGCCCGAACGAGTTCCGATTACTGTGGAGTAGGCTGCTCAAGCTTCTCGATGCTCTGCATGTTCTGCACGATCTCTACCGACCGGATGGGGCTCCAAACTGGTTCCTTGCAGGGTAAGTGGAAGCCACAAAATAAGGAGACAGTCATGTACTGACGTGTTGAAGGGTCCACCAAGACATACAGCCAGCAAACATCTTAGTTTTCCCTGAAAAAGATAAAGACTCTCGCTTCGATGTAAAGTTCAAGCTCACAGACTTTGGATTGGCTGAGATTGGCAGAATCTCGACTTCAGGTGGAAAGTTGGCAACAGAGAATAGGGGCAATAGGATGTACAGTATGTACTATCAAACCCCCAGTGACAAAGCTAACCCTAAGTCTAGTTTCTCCCGAGAGTTTTGCCAACTTCTCAGTTCAGGACACTGTCCGAACTGATCTACCACCAACAGCAGATATATGGGCTCTGGGCGCCGTGTTTAGCGATGTGCTTGTCTGGTCGATTTCTGGTGAGCCAGCTCGCGAACAGTACCGCCTCCGAAGAAGAGCAGAGATTTCTTCCCAGCTTCACCTGAAGGAACGTGATCACGATGCTTGCTTCCACGATGGAGTGGACCGCCTTGCCGCTGTTGAAGAGTCTCATAAGCTAGCACTTCAAGACAAAAGAGGCAATGACAATATCTCGCCTTACATGAGTGACATCATACTAGATTATATGCTCACTAGTGTGGATGAGAGACTGACGGCGATGAATATTAGGATCCGAGCGGAGAAGGCGATCAAGAACATGAAAGAAGACTCACTCGATGATAGCCGGGCGGTTGCAAATGGTCGGCCTGCGCAGCTACGCGCTATATCTACAAGCAGACGACGAACTGTGCCTAACCCATCCCTACGGAACCTTCCCCAGGCACCCGATCTTGGGCTACCAGTTCGACCAGTGGCAAATCATATCTGTGCTTCCCCCAGGGCCTCTCTCGATCACTCTTCTGCGCGACCTTCATCACCAGCTCCATCCGTCACCCAGGCTACGTCTCCGCCAGTGGACAACGGTCAACTTCAAATGCAGACACCAAAATCTCCGCCGGCAGTTGTGAAGGTTACAGTGGATGAAGTATATCGAATGATGGAGAAGACCAGCCTCTCCGCCTTCCCCACTTCAATTGGGATGAGACCAGATAAGTCGAAGGAGATAATGAAGCTCCCCGGAATGGAAGAGGCTCGAATCAAGATCGCGGTGGCGAGAGGTAGAGACCAGGTATGTTTCTGACTGTTGCCGTGTGATACCTGACTAATTGCAAGTTTCTAGATCATGCTCATTGATAACTTTCGATCAATGGGACCGTATAAGCCAAAGGTGATTAAGACAGCGAGGGTCATCAGTTACGTTGCAAAGGCTGTTGACGAGGACGGCATGGAGCTTTATGCTGCATCAGAAATCGCCAAGAAGCCACGGAAATGCAAGAATAGCTCGCAGATCGAGAAAGCTATCACCAGAATGCCGACCGTCGACGGGACCTGCAACATGAGAGGTTGTCTGGACACAATCCTCGATCGGGTGCTTGTCGGAAGAAAGGTCAAACCCACGAGCATCTATATCTATACCGATGGGGTCTGGGAACCTGGGGTCGATCAGGTCAAGTTTTCCATCAAGAGGGCTATTGAATACCTGATCAAGTGCGGGCAACCCTCTTCGACACTGATGTTTCAGTTCGTCCAGTTCGGGAGTGATACCGAAGGGACTGGCCGGCTGAAATTTTTGGATAATAAGTGTGTAAGAGTGGTAGAGGAGGAGAGTTAGTAAGTACTACAACTTCATATTACCAGGAATTCCAAACTAACAGCTTGCTAAGCGATATTGTGGACACCAAGCATTGTGACGATCATGTTCCAAATATCGTTGTAGGGAGCTTTTCGAGATATGCCGATGAAATGGGGTCTGGTGAAGAGGGTCATTTGAAGATATAATTATGATAGATTATTATTCCAATCAATCAGACTTTATTACACTACATCTTGAGGCACTGTGCGTTATGAATAATGTAATACCTTACGGCCAATCTCCAAGTTGCTTCTATACCGAATTCTACCAGGCATTCAGTCGCCGGCTCGATACGCATCCGTTCCCGGACGAATGTTGTCCCGGCGGTTGATTTGCTGTACTCCGTACCAGCCAGTCCAATGGCTTTAGTCTGGACCGGGATTGAGGAGCCAATTCCGGTCGGATCCGTGCCCGGTGGATTCAGCCGAGGCCCCGGAACTTGACTGAAAACAGTCAAAATGCCTTACCAATCACAGGTGGCGATAGTTTTACTGGGTATCAAATGGAATTTTCGGACCGCGCAGTTGACAAAAGTCTCCGTGCTAGTGTACAGCTTACTATAACTTTATTGCATTGCTTCTTGTCTCAATCAAACTGACACAATGGCAACGATGGCGACAGATATGCTCTCGATCACGGCGCCAACATACACCAGCCCAGGTGGCTATGAACTCGCGACACTACCGAAGCCAATCCTTACTGGGGACAGTGATGTCCTCATCAAAGTCCATGCAGCGAGTATCAATCCGGTCGATGTGAAGAAGGCCGCCGGTGTCTTCAAGATGGCGATAAAGGAAGAGTAAGTTCCCTCAATGAACATGAAAAGACTTAGGCTGATAACACGGCTGTCAAGGTTCCCCTATAAGATTGGGTATGACGCGGCCGGCGTCGTTGTGGAAGTTGGAAACGGTGTGACTAGACTGAAAGTTGGCGATGAAGTCTACACAAGATTACCAGAAGTCGGGAGAGGTGTGATAACATGGCTCTTGAGAGCGAGAATCGACTACTGACATTATGTAACAGGTGCTTGGAGCGAGTATGTCAAGTGTGCAGACGAATATGTCTCTTTGAAACCTAAGAGTCTCTCATTTGCCGATGCTGCATCATTGCCACTGGCTGGAGTCACGGCATTACAGGTTCTCGGGCAATACAAGGGCTCATTAGAGGGCAAGACGGTATTTATTCCTGCAGGCTGTAAGTTACATACCATAAGTTTTTTCGAGCGAGATACTGATTTTGCTTGCAGTGAGCGGGACAGGAGCCATCGCATGCCAATTGGCCAAGAATGTTTTCCACGCCGGCAAAGTCATCACCACAGTCTCTACAACCAAGATCCCCAAAGTGTCAGGGCTCCTTGGCCAGGGTACGGTGGATCAGAGTAAGTCCTGAACGAACCACCGAGACTTAGCTGACCAGTACACAGTCATCGACTACACCAAACAAAAGATTCCCGACGCCATTCCTCCAAAGTCCGTCGATTTCTGCTTCGACACAACCGGTCAATCCATGGAATTCCTCTCACTCATGGTCCCATCAAGCGGCATGATCGTCTCAATCTCAACGACTCCATCTGCCTCGACCCTCCAAGCTTCTAGTGTGATGCGACGGCCAGATAACCCTCGGATCCCGTTCGCCGGACGACTTTTCCTTGATGCAGCGGATGCGATACGTAGACTGCGGGCTTGGCGCTGGGGAGTGACCTACATGTATCATTTCTTGGACCCCAATCGAGAGGACTTGGATAAGCTTACGGATTATGTGGAGAGTGGAAAGGTGAAGCCTGTTGTTGGAGCAAAGGTTGACATGAGAGACATCAAGGCCGTTCGCGAAGCTTGCGATCAGACTTATAAGGGCAAGGGCGGGTTAGGAAAGACTGTGTTCGAAATGATCAAGGATTAATAATATTCGAGCAATATTACCGTATAAGGCGTGCGATATAAGCCATCAGCTGTAGGGTCTATTAACTCAAAATAATACTCTTATTAAAGTCAGTCTAGGCAATATACTAACTACTAATATAATTGCCTAAAATAGGCTTATAAAACCTATCTAATAATAATTATATTTAATATATAAAGAGAACTCTAAATATATTCCTTAAGGGATAAAATGGCTACTTTAGTCCCCTATTATAGCCCTCTAACTTAATATTATTAGAAACACTCCTCAAGATACAGGCTCCTATTAGAAGAATAATCATTAGTTAAGGCTATTTGCAGCCTGCCTGTCACGACTATATCAACAACTTCGTTATCAATATAGCTATGATATCTACAGCTGATAAGGATGCCCTCTTCAGAAGCATCAAAAGGCAAGGTGGTGATAAGAGAGCAATATTACAGTTACAGTTTTGACTTCAAGAATGACAAGTCTCGTGGACTAACCACTTCGGCCTTGATCTCCTCTCTTGGCCTCTCCACATCTTTCTTCACAAGTTCTGAATACAGCTGCTGTATCCTCTCCGTCAAAGGGCCTCTCTTTCCATCACCAATTACTCGCCCATCGATCTCAGTAACATGGATTTGTGAGGGGAAAGTCCCCGTGCAGAAAGCCTCATCGGCGCCATACGTCTCAGTCAGAGTAAAGTCCAATTCTTTAACGGCGATGCCATTCGCTCGGCAAACATCGATAGTCTTCTGACGGGTAATTCCTTGCATCTGGTTATCCTTGGTAGGCGCCCAGACTTCGTCACCTCGAACAATGAAGAAGTTGACTGAGTTGCACGTCTTGACAAAGCCGCGTAGGTCAAGCATGAGAGCCTCGTCGACGTTCATCACGTTCGCGTGAATGCAAGCTTGGACGTCTGTAGCTTTTGAAATGTGATTCCACTGCTCATCCTTGACGTCAGGGGGGCCGCGACGGACCCATGTTGTCGCGAGTCTGAGGCCTCTTGACTTGGAGTTGGGATCAACGGCCTTGGACTCGGGAATGATGACGATGAGAGGAAGGCCGATGTTGACCTTGGGGTTTTGGTAAGGAGTGGCTTTCAGGCCGCGACTCACGACAAGTCTGATGTGAACATGTTCATCATCTCCCATGTCATTCGCATCAAGTGTCTTGTGAATGAGGTCGAGAAGATCTCCTTTGGATAGACCAAGGTCCATGTACATGGCTTTCGCTGACTGGAAAAGGCGGTTGATGTGCTCTTTGGCGAACTGAACACAGCCCTTGTTTGCTCGTATACCTTCCTTGACTAGTGTTAGTCATTGTTTCGTAGTTTGTTGGAGACCGGAGCTTACCCAGATGCCATCGCCAATCAGGAAATTTGAGTCAAAAACTGAGACTACAGCTTCTGCTCGAGGTACCAAACTGAAGTCGCCAGTGACACCATCACGAATCCCAACCTTAATCTCCGTCAGTACCTATTATGTAAATGCTGAATAAGTCAACTTACTTGGATGGAAGCATTCTTCGCATTCGGTACAGAGCTATGCGTTGAGCCTCCGTGGCTTCCCTGCTTGGTGTTTGTCATATTTGCTGTCGATTGAATCCTGTATATGGGGCTTCGATTTCGTGATATTGAGATGGAATGGTTCAATTCAGTCAAATATTATATCTCCGAGAATTTTAATACGGCTCATGATGGATCTTCGGACCCTGGAGGTGAGCTCGGTGTCCACCGGACGGCAAATTCGGTCGTGACCGAGCTGACTCGCGCAAGCGTGATAAGCCGATAAGGCTTGGATCATCTGCCACTGAGCTCGAGCCTACGCAAAGCCTTGAAGTTACATAGAGTGATGAGATTCTGAGTCCAACTTAGGATAATTTAGAATTATTCGACATTAACTCGGAATAAACTGAGTAGAGCCGCCTGATCCAAAGTCTTTCGTCCTCTGACACTCAATCTCACGATGATTTCGCGGTTCCGTTATCAAAATCGGCCAACTACCCACTGTAACTTGACGTGATCGCAAGGCTCCCCAATCGTCATCGGCATCAATTCTGGTTCGTTCGTTATCATCCCCAACCCCAGATAACAAGGCGGGGTGATAGGCTAGAACTCCTCAAAGCAGTAAAGTCCCCTCGGTAGCGTCCGAGTAGTGAGCTCGGTGGTGACCGAGCGCCTCGTTGTACACCGAAGCCTAACAACTACAGCGATAAACTCCCCGTTGCAGCGAAATTGGCCCCGCTAAACCCGGGGAAGTGGTAGACTAACTTTGTAGCAGATTTGACTTGAGAAATTCATAAAGACGACCATGCGAAGCATCCAAAGATCGTCGAGGGACTTCCCATCTCGCCTCTAGACTTGGACTTCTTCGATAATTTTCCACCATGTCGCAGACTCCCAAGACTGAGCAAGGCCAGGCCAAGGACATGGCTCAATCTGTTACTTCTGATCGTGAGCAGGATGAGGTTTCGGAGTTGACCAAGGCCCAGTCAAAGCGACTCCTCCTCAAGACAGACCTGGTCGTCATGCCGCTTGCTGTTCTGTCTATGACACTTGCTTTCTTGGATAAGGTATGTCTGGATACTCAAATTCTACCAATTGCCTGCTGACGGATCCAAGAATGCACTCGGATACGCCGCCATCTTCGGTATCAAAGAAGATGCTCACCTCAAGCCCCAAGAGTACAGCTGGCTAAGCAGTATCTTCTACTTCGGTTACCTCGCCATGGAGTTCCCCAATCTGTGGCTAATGACAAAGATTCCTATCGGCAAGTATGTCGGTGGCTGCCTCACTCTATGGGGTATTGCCCTATGCTTCATGGCGCTCTGCCATAACTTTGCAGGACTAGCGACTATCAGATTCCTTCTTGGTGTTTTTGAGGCTGCTGTACTACCTTGCATGATGATCATCAACTCCATGTGGTATTTGAGGAACGAGCAGCCTTTGAGAACAGCGTTTTGGTATAATACTTTCGCTGGTGTGTTTGGAGGTATTCTGTCTTATGCGATTGGGCAGATCAATGGATCGCTATCCACCTGGAAGGTTAGTGGCTATCATTTCAAGTTATGTTTCTGTGCTGATGAGAGTTTGTAGTACATCTTCCTCATCTATGGATCTTGCACCATCCTCGCTGGAGCTCTAGTCTTCTTCGGTCTTCCCGATACTCCCTCAAAGGCATGGTTCTTCACTGAAGAGGAGAAGAAGCTTGCGATGATTCGTCTCGCACCCAATCAGACCGGTATCGAGTCAAAGAAGGTACGTAGCAATTTATGTTCCATCGCATAAACTGAGGCTTACATAAATCAAGAAATTCCAAACTGCTCAGATCTTGGAGGCGCTTCGTGATCCCAAATGCTACTGCATCTGGCTCGGCGTCTTCGGCTATGCCCTCGCCAACGCAGGCATCACAAACTTCAACCCTCTCATTATCGCTGGCTATGGTTTCAGTAAGACCAAGACTGTTTTAATGGCCACTCCTCAGGCAGCAGTCGCCATGATCAGTCAGGCTATTCTCACCACTGTTGCGTTCTTCATTCCCAATCTGAGGTGTATCTTCTGGATCTTTGGTGCTTTGATGGGTCTTGTCGGGGCTGTCATGGTGCATTCTCTTGACGTTGCGACACAGCGCGACGCGTCTTTGGCAGGAGTCTATCTCATGGGCTTCTACAACGTCCCTTGGGTCTTTCTGCTCAGTCTCTCTTCCTCGAATACTGCTGGCGCGACAAAGAAGAGCTTTATGGGTATCTCAATCGCTATTGTCTACGGTATGCACCACCCTACTATGAACTTTGTCCGTTTTCACCCGCTGACTGACACTTGTAGCCGTTGGAAATATTGTCGGACCTCAGTTCTTCCTCGATAGACAGGCACCGACGTATGCTCTTGGCATCGGCTCTATGCTTTTCGCATTTGCCTTGATGGCTGCCACTGGTTTGGCGTACTATGTTCTCTGCGGTATAGAGAACAGGAGGCGCAACAAGCAATATGGCAAGGCTCATGACGACACTGATATTGGACTGGAGGCCGAGAGGAGCGACAAGACGGATTGGCAGAATCCCAACTTCCGCTACACTTACTAGAAGATTTACATATTTGATTCTGATTAATTGATGAATTGACAAATTGCGCGATATCGCCTTTGCTCAATTGTGAGCTGGTTAATGAGACGCGTGATGTTCGAGTACTGATTATGCAAGTTCATTCGTATGACTTTATGATACAGCACCTTGAGTAGAGCTTTACAAACTTGTTTTTTAATGGTAGGAATATAGCCGCAATCAATTACAAGGCGTCGTACGCAGCAGAAAAAGGTCAGGAGTCGGAAACCAGAGACATACAAAGTCGCGGCATACTTCAGTAGGGCGTCCTGTGATCGATGCATGAAGAGGCTACCCTGTACGTTGTCTTGAAATGTCGATGTTCGCGCTGGAATGAAGCTGGTGATGAGCTGACTGTTGACATGATTTAAGGTAAATTAAATAAAATAAGTAAGAAAGCCAATCTCATTTGACTGGAACTTCCATCAGCGAAATACCCTGAATGAATCATGACATATGCCAGACTGGATGTATGGATACGCGTTGGTAAATCGAGGTGTTTTCTAATGCTTATCGATAAGCGAGATATCGGATAACGTCCAGATAGCGGTCGACTCGGTAGCTGCATAATTCCGATCCGTTATGGCGTCAACGATGCTGGCCCCACTATTTTCGGATGGGTGCGAGACATTTAGACTTGGCTGTTGTCCTTGCTCACCAGGAAGAAAAGAATATCGCTACCCTAAACAATAATGTTCCATGCTTTCAACGCTTCAACCATCTGTTTCGAAGGCATGCAGTCGATGTCGGTCACGTAAGGTCAAAGTGAGTTCATCTACACGCAACAACAAGCTCCTTTGAGACTCTCGGCTGACACCGAGTCTAAGTGTGACCTCAGAGTTCCGCAGTGTACGGCATGCGCACGACAGAATGAAGCATGCAATATCACAGACTGTGTATCTTACCCATACTCAGTCGTAAAAGCCCTTCAAGATAGGATTAATGACCTCGAAGCAAGGCTGAGACTGGTCCCAACACCCAATGAGACCGTCCCTGAGCCAGACCCAGAGCCTTCGGACGTGAATCCGGAGCCCCGTGCTGATCTGCAGAAGGAGGCTGAAGAGGTGGGTTTCCTCACCACGGGAGGATCAGATCTGTACTCAGGTAGCAAGTATGGTGAGTGAAGATCGATCATGATCATCAATTGACGACCCTGCTGATCTTCGATCTGCTTCAGTCGGCAGCGCGGCCGGATCGACATTTGCGAGGATCTTCTTCAAGCAACTCAATCTTGTTCCCTCGTGGGATTCCGGGAGTCAGGGAAGTGGTCTTGGACAGCCCCTGTGTGAAGCAACTGCTGCACTTCCGCCTCAGCCTATCGCAAGGGCTCTCCTCCACATCTACATCTCTAGGGTACACATCTGGTGGCCATTCTTACAGCTTCCGCATTTGAGAAGGGTCTTTCAGCGTATCTATGAGAGTCCTAGGCAGTGCAGTGACCATGAAAAGTTTACTGTCTTTGTTACTCTAGCTTTAGCAAGCAGTCAACTGACCACGAAGGGTGCCCAGTCTCCAGCAATGATGGACCTCAACGACTCCAATGCATACTTCCAGACCTCATTGCGCTTCTTCAACAATTTTAGTCAACATCCAAGAGACCTTTTCGGGATTCAAGCAGTGCTGCTTCTGGCGATATGGATGCTAGACTCGTCTCACAGCAGCCACAATAACGACCTCTGGCAGCTCAGCCGGTACATCATGTCGGCAGCCATAGAGGCAGGACTCCACCGTCACAACAAGAACTGGGGTTTCACAGCTGAAGAGTTAGAAGTCCGGAATAGGACGTGGTGGTGTGCATACAACCTGGAGCGGTCAGTTGTCTTGCCCAATTGAGAGTTCTGACTCGACTGACCTCGCAAACTAGACAAGTTGCGACTCTGACAGGGCGAGTCTTATCCATTCGGGACCACGCAGTCCACACCATGTTACCCAATCCAGCCACTTTCGATGCACTGACCCCTCTTGAGAGCTCCATGGCCCCCGTTCTCCACCAGCACAACGTTGAGGTTATTCGTCACATTATTACATTGCGGAGAATTGGTGGTCGCATCCTTGAGTCGATCTACATAGCGAGAGGGCCAAGCGGCACGGCTATGGATACTACATTCCAGCAGATTTGTGCGACCTCAGACCAAATCCGGAGAGACCTCGAACTCTGGGAGCAGCAATTGGAGGCAATGGGACTGAAGCCATCTCGAGAGTACTCTGAGATGAAAATTGAGTACTGCCTTTTGCAGCTTCTACTACACAGACCATCGCCGACATTCATGGTACCATCGCGTCAAATGGCGTCCTACTGTTCCAAGGCTGCATCGACTGCAATCAGTCACTGGTCCAAAATCGAGGGCGAATATGGCATTTCTGCTATTTGTCGATGTTTTAGACAGCTGCATGATATTATCCTTGTCGGACTAGCGGCTCTTTACTACGATTGGTAAGTTCGGCAAGCTGAACGAACTGAACGAGCTGAACCCTGGAATGTGACTGACATGCTTATCCTGCAGGCAAGCGATGGCCCTTCCACAGACTGGAGATGATGCTCCGAGGTCACATCGACATTTCAACGACACTGCGATTTGCCTAGACCTGATTGACCGAGGAATTACTAATATGAGAGCTCCATATTTGACAAAGTACAAAGACTTGTTCCAGGCTGTCAGGAATAAAGTTTACGCCAAGACGATTTTCACCAGCATTAGTCCAGGGGCTATGAACTCGACCATATCCCCTGGCACAATGTCACAAGGAATTATTCTTAACCCTAGCGACGATATAATGTTCTCGATGGGTGACGGGGTAGAAGCATATGTGAACCAGGTGAATGAGTTCTTGGATGGAGGTGGATTCAATGTTGATGAGGCTCTTGATGCATGGTACGATGCTTTGATGGGAGAAATACAGAACGGAGATGCCCAGATGATGGAGTGACTTCAGGGCAGAAAAGTTAATAGTCAATTATCGACTGCAAATGGATAAAATATTGGTATTGATAATGTTGCTACAATTTTACAAGGCGACCAACGATATTAAAGTGTGGCTGATATTGACGTCGCCATCAATGAGGCAGTTGAACTGTTAGCCCGTAGTTGACAGCTGACAAGAGAAGCTAGCACGTCTTTGGCGCCGTTGTAAACCCCTGTTCAGCTGGAGGCGGCTCGAAATGGAGTCGACTAGCCGATGCCGAGACATTGACTTGAGCCGCTGAAACACTCAACCAATCACGGGGATTCAGAATGAGTTTGGCCAACAAAACAAAGTGGATGAATTGCATTAAGTAAGGATAACTAATAGATCGATCCCCCCGCCAGTTCAATGCTTGTCTTAGATGCAGAGGTACAAGGGCACTGTAAAATTCTGAAAGCGCAATAGATCGATTATTATGAGAAGAGAAACGCCACATTCTGACTCGACATGCCTCCGAATATCATTTCCCCTTTGGACTAGATGTAGAGAGGATACAGGACCATAGCAGCAAAGAGAACGGCTTTGAGGACAACAGATTTGGTCACCTTAGTCTCGGCCGCGTGGCCAGTAACAACGACGGCCGATGGACTAGCGTCGTCAGAAGGGGATGCCGACTCCGATCCCGTTTCATCTCCGTCTCCGTGCCCGGCTTCATTACCCGCTGCAGTAGAGGCTCCGCTAGGTGCATCCACAGTGGAGCTGTGAGAACTAGTGTCCGCACCTCCACCAGCAGGCAATTCGGGAGCGCCGGTGTTCTTAGGGCCATCGGGTAATTCGTCGCCTTTTCCAGCACCATCATGCTTGGCATCTGAACCACCAGAGACCTGAGACGGTTTCTGAGCATCGGGTAATTCAGGACCACCGCGGGAAATCCATGGGTACACGCTCTCAGCGGGAGAAACAGGCACGACGGTTTTGTGAACAACGGACGTGGCGACCGCAGTAAGAGTAGAGCCAGCCTTGGCGGCCCCACCTTGAGACCCCTGAGCAGCTGTGGCTGACTCGATAGGGAGAGTCAAAGTGGTTGTGACTGGGTGCTCGCCACAGACGTGACAGATAACGGCTGTGGTGGTGAAACCAGGAGGACACTCGGTGGAGGCAGGTCTCTGGCAGTGAGACGAGGCGCAGGGGGCGGTGATGGTATAAGTATGTACACCTGGACCATTGGGGCCAAGGGTTGGAAGGGCAGTGGTGTAGATGAGAGTGCCGCCACCTGTCACCTGACCATGGCCAGAACCATCGGAACCATCGGAGCCAGAGCCAGAGCCGGAGCCAGAGCCAGAGCCGGAGCCAGAACCAGAACCATGGGGTCCAAAGGTAGAGGTAGGATGGAGACTGGTTACAGTGATGGGGGAAAGAGTGCTTGTCACGGTACAGTCTTCAGGGCTTGAAAGCTGTCCTCGCCTGATGGGAAGCCTGATAGGAAGCCAAGATGCATGACTGACGGCGGGGAAGAGAAGAATGAGCGGAGTGAGCAACATGATTAACGAGTGAAGCAGTGATATGTGCGTCGCTAATTTCCACTCTGAAAAGATGGTTGGAGTATTTATGTTTTTCACGCTGGCATGTCTCTAGTCTTTCACAAAGATCACGCATCAGGTGAAGTCTTCTCAACAACAATCACAACAAATCCGGCACGCGATCCCCTGCAGTCTTGATCTAGTCCGCACTTGAAAGTAGAAGAAAACTTAATCACATCTCCAAGACTTGCTGGAATGTCCCCTGCATTGGTTAATGATACCATTCCGACTTCCAGTTCCGTGGGACCAGAGTGATAACTGATGTCTTTCTGAACCAACTATCCAGATTAGGTTTGTATCTCGTCTATTCTAGACAATGATTGGAACTGACAATGGGCATATCCAGCTGAAAATCATAACCGGAAGTAGAAGGTCTGTCTCGGCAATGCCCTTCGCATCAACGTGGATCGTTACACAAACTCTCCTTCAAGACCCTCCCGTCCTATCAAACCCACGTTATATCCACTTTCACCCATATCCAGATCCCGCGGGTAACGATTTTGCCTTAAGTAGGGCAGAGTTAATGTGACTTATACTTCAGACACTCCGAATCATCACCAACGAGTCAACCAAAAGGCCCCCCTCAACACCATCCCAAGACCTTACGATGCCTAAAGCAGACAGAGGGATATTTGAAAAGGATAATATCATGACATTCGAGGAATTTGGTGGCGTTTTGAAGCGAGAGAGTAACGAATACGGTTGATTTATCTTCAATATAGCTTCTAAGCGAGGTGGGCTGAGAATAACTTCACTTGAAAGGTTTACTATCTTTGCATTCCTAACAGTATGTCTTCCCCCTGGCCCAGATGCTTAGAGAATAACTCAACAAGATAAACCTTAGTAGCTAGTTCGAACATGCCATTCTCGCGATATGTTCGCTTTGGGAAAGTCGTTCGTGATGTTTTCCATCCCCCTTTCTCAGAACCTTATCCATAAATATCAGAGTCTTCTGCAGTTAGAAATCTTGTTATTCATCATCAACACTCTCTTTCTTCATCTCTTTGTTACAACAATCTTTTTGGGTGTCATTCGTTTCGACAATGCGTCTTCGTCGTTTCATCCCCGAACTTCTGCTCCTGGGCTCAACTACCCAAGCTCGACCTACGGAAGAGTGCCCTGACGGTGTTTCTATCGTCAAGGTCCAGCCTGAAGTTATCGTTGGGCTTCAGCCTGTTAGTATAAGTGCTGTGTTCACTAGCAATACAGTGCTTACTATTGATGGGACGACGATTCCTATCACTGGTGCTCCTACTACCTTGGTCACTGCGTTTACTATCACCAAGACTTCGACTAGGTACATCACTGGGTAAGTTTATCTGTTAATTGGATCTCGGAAGAGACGTATTCTAATGAGTTTCATTTAGTAACCCGGAACCGTACTTTACTGGTCCCTATACGACCATCACTAGCAACAACCCCGGATCGAACCCCACTACGATCACCCGACCGCCCTCTGGCAATGATCACACCGGAACCGTTATCATAGTCAACCCATCGGGTGGCTCGGGCGGCTCTGGTGGTACACGTCCCGCCTTCACCGGACCGTATACGACTATTACAAACAATGGACCTGCTGGAAGTCACCCAACCACTTTGACTCTTCCTCCCTCGGGCAATGACCCCAGCGGAACTGTTATCGTGGTTGTTCCCTCTGGTACTGGTACTCAGAGCAAGCCTTTCACTGGTCCATATACGACCATCACGAGCGCTGGTCCAGGATCCCAGGCTACCACTCTGACACTCCCTCCTTCTGGTACTGGTGGTGTTGGAACTGTCATCATTATTGATCCAACATCTCCTGGATCCAAGCCCTCTTCTACCAACACAGGTAAGTCTCCGGCAACAACTCTCACTATTCTACCATCTGGCACGGATGGCACTGGCACTGTTATCGTTATTGGACCTACGGCATCTTCTGGATCTGGACATGCTTCGTCTGGTGGCTCGGCCCATACCACGGCTGGAGGCTCTGGAGTCCCCAACCCCAGTTCTGTTATTTCAAAGGGCACCTTCACTGGTCCGTTCACCACTATTACTGGTATCAACACTGGTTCTGCTGGTACAACCGTGACACTCCCCCCATCTGGTACTGACTCCATCGGCACTGTTATCGTCTTGGAGCCTAGTACAAGTGCTCAGAAGACCACCTTCACAGGCCCTTTCACTACTATCACTGGAGTCAACACTGGTTCTGCTGGAACTACAGTCACACTTCCCCCCTCGGGCACTGATAGTGTCGGCACGGTTATTGTCCTTGAGCCAAGCACGACTGCCCAGAGGACGACCTTTACAGGGCCCTTCACCACAATCACTGGCGTCAATTCCGGCACCGCTGCTTCAACTGTTACCCTTCCCCCCTCAGGCTCGGATCCTACCGGTACTGTCATTGTCCTCGAGCCCAGTGTGACATCGAAGCCAAGTACCTTCACCGGCCCCTTTACAACCATCACTGGAGTCAACACCGGCTCATCGGGCACGACTGTCACTCTTCCCCCTTCCGGCACAGGCTCTGTAGGTACTGTCATCGTCCTTGAACCTAGCACGACTGGACCGCGAAGCACTTTCACTGGCCCCTTTACCACCATCACAGGGTCCGGTCCCATCCCAACCACCGTCACACTTCCTCCTTCAGGCGGTGACCCAAGCGGTACTGTTATCGTGATTGGTCCCCCTTCAAGCACAACCTTTACTGGACCATTCACTACCATCACCGGTGTCAACACTGGTACTGGTTCCTCAACCGTCACACTTCCGCCCTCCGGCACCGATACAGTTGGTACTGTCATTGTGCTGGAACCATCCACGACCAAGACATTTACTGGACCTTTCACTACCATTACTGGCGTCAACACTGGCACTGGCTCCTCCACAGTAACCTTGCCTCCTTCTGGTACCGATACTATCGGCACAGTGATCGTGTTAGAGCCCTCAACAACCAGGACGTTCACGGGACCTTTCACTACTATCACCGGCGTGAACACTGGGACTGCAACTGGTGCCTCAACTGTGACTCTTCCTCCCTCTGGCACTGACTCAGTCGGAACTGTGATTGTCCTCGAGCCCTCGACTCGCACAACCTTCACGGGTCCTTTCACGACCATCACTGGCGTCAACACTGGCACCGGGGCTTCTACTGTTACTTTACCTCCTTCCGGTACTGACACCATTGGTACTGTTATCGTGCTTGAGCCTTCAACCAGCGCCAGTGCCACTGGGCCTTTCACTGGACCATTCACCACCATCACGGGCGTAAACACTGGAACTGCAACTGGTGCTTCTACTATTACCCTACCTCCTTCTGGCACGGACACTATTGGTACAGTCATTGTATTGGAGCCCTCTACTCGTACGACCTTTACTGGCCCCTTCACAACAATCACGGGAGTCAATACGGGGACTGCAACTGGCGCTTCCACTCTGACTTTGCCTCCCTCTGGTAATGACCCTACGGGTACTGTGATTGTTTTGGAGCCTTCTGTTTCAGCCCCAGCGAGCAGCTTCACTGGACCTTTCACAACGATTACCGGAGTGAACACTGGCACAGCAACTGGTGCTTCTACATTAACCCTCCCTCCTAGTGGCACAGATACTATCGGTACTGTTATCGTCTTAGAGCCTTCCACTTCTGCAGTCCCAACAACCTTTACTGGCCCATTTACCACCATAACCGGAGTGAACACAGGCACAGCTACGGGAGCCCAGACCGTCACCTTGCCACCCGCTGGAACCGACACCATTGGCACTGTTATTGTGTTGGAGCCCTCAACTTCTGTTCCTCCTTTCACCGGACCGTACACTACCATCACTGGTGTCAACACAGGTACTGCGACTGGAGCCTCGACCATCACACTTCCGCCATCTGGAACAGATACAATCGGCACAGTCATTGTATTAGAGCCTTCGACATCAGCACCTGCGTCAACATTCACTGGTCCATTCACCACTATAACCGGTGTCAGCCCAGGTACCGCCACAGGAGCCTCAACAGTCACTCTCCCACCGTCCGGAACCGATACCATTGGAACCGTCATCGTGCTCGAGCCATCGACATCAGCCTCTGCTTCCTCATTTACGGGTCCTTTCACCACGATCACTGGTATCAACACAGGCACAGGCACGGGGGTATCTACCATCACTCTGCCTCCAACAGGAACTGACACCATCGGAACTGTCATTGTTCTTGAACCTTCGACCTCAGCTCCTGCTTCGACTTTCACCGGTCCTTTCACTACTATCACTGGCGTCAACACGGGTACCGCTACTGGCACCTCTACCTTGACGCTTCCACCGTCAGGCACAGATACTATCGGCACTGTCATCATCCTCGAGCCCTCAACTTCAGCACCTGGTTCTACCTTCACTGGTCCCTACACCACCATCACAGGTAGTGGACCAATTGGCACAAGTATTACTCTGTCCCCATCTGGAACAGATCCTGTTGGTACTGTGATCGTGATCGAGCCCACGCCCGTTTCAACTGTATCCCCTGGAGCCACCGGAACTAGCGAGGGCTCAGGTGTTTCATCAACCTCTAATGGTTCTCAAGGTCAGTCAACGTCTTCCCCCGGAAGCTCCGACTCTGGCGCTTCAAGCACTTCCAGTTCCCCCTCCCAGCAAAGTTCAGATGTTTCTTCTTCCCATCCCTCTACCTCTGATTCCTTGACCGATGCCAACTCTGGTTCTATGAGCGGCACTTTCAGTGGCTCTATAGTATCTTCGACTGGAGCTTGGTCAGGTGAGATGTCAGGTTCTGTTACTGGTAGCTCTGAGTCTGCCTTCAGTACCTATAGTCCCGCGTCCCAAGAGAGTTCAGGTGCTTCTTCTGTATCCTCAGTGTCGGATACCCTGTCCAACGGTGGCACCGTTGGTACTGAGTCTTTGAGCAGTACCTTTACTGGCACCGATGGATCTTTGACTGCTACTGCTTCGGGAGTACCGCCAACCTCTGGCTCTCAAAGTCAAGAGACTTCTGGTGCTGGAGGCCCGGGTACTTCTGGCACGGCATCCCAACAGAGTTCAGAAGCTTCCGGCTCCCTTACCAACGGCAATACTGGTAGCACTGGCCTTGGCGAGTCTACTGGTTCTCCATCGGGTACTCTGTCAACCTCTACTCTAGGAAGCTCTGATGGAGCTTCAAGCACCTCTGGCGCCGCGTCACAGCAGAGCTCTGATACCTCATCAGTCCCTGCTACAGAGACTGGTGGTAACACGGTTGCCCCCGGCTCCACTGGCACCACTTCTGGAGGTTCTCAAGCATCATCAACTGAGATTCCTTCTGGAGCTGTGTCCTCTGACTTCGTTTCAGAGACATCTTCACTTGGATCAGGTACTACATCTGAGACTGCCACCAATGGCAACACTGGCGGTCCTGGTTCTGGAAGTACCAGTTCTGGTGACTCTGAAGTAACCTCCACTGAGGTTCTTTCAGAAGCTTCATCCTCTGGGACTGGCGCGGAGACCACTTCAGCTGTATCCGGTGCATCTTCAGATACCTTGACCAATGGCAACACTGGCGGCTCTGAGTCTACCGACACCTCAGTTGGCTCTGGCGTGTCTTCAACGGGACTTCCCACTGTCTCCACATCTGGCACTGGCGCAGGAACATCCTCAGACGGATCGGGTGCTTCTTCAACTCTAGGGTCGGAGACTAGTGGTAATACTGGCTCCGAATCTGCAAGCACTACGCCTGGTGCTTTCGAAGAGTCATCTACTGGACTTCCTTCAGGAGCTTCATCCTCGCAGTCCGGCTCAGAGACATCACCAATTGCATCAGGATCTTCTTCAGATACCGCAACCAATGCTAACACCGGCGCGTCAGGCTCTGCAACCACCACTTCTGGTGGCTTTGAAGTATCCTCCACTGAAGTTCCCTCGGTTTCGTCCTCTGGCTCTGGTGCCGAGTCTTCTGGAGTCGAGACTTCTGGAGCTGGATCAGACACCTCGATTTCCCCGTCAGAGACTAGTGGTAACACTGGCGCCTCTGACACCACTGGGCCTGTCACCGCAAGTAGCACCTTCGCAGCTTCTGAAGGGTCATCAACAGGAGTTCCAACTGAAACTGTATCATCTAGCTCTGGCGCTGAGACTTCTGGGGCTGGATCAGGTACTTCTTTGGCTTCATCGGAGACAGGTGGCAACACTGGTGCCTCTGGCACTACAAGCAGCACCTCAGGTGCCTCTGAAGGATCCACGACCGGAGTTCCCACTGGTCAGATATCATCTAGTCCTGGTACTGAGACATCTGGAACCAATTCGGGCGCTTCTTCCGCTTCAGTTACAGAGACTGACAACACTGGTGCCCCTACTGCGACAAGCACTAACGGCTCTGAAGAATCTTCAACCGGTCTTCCCTCTGGTGCTACATCCTCTGACACCGGCTCTGAGACCTCCACAACAGGATTGGGTCCTTCTTCAACCGCTGGAGAAGAGTCAAGTACTGGTGCCCCGGCTGGTACGTCTGATGGCTCTGAAGGCTCTTCGACAGGAATCCCCACTGGCGCTACTTCATCTGGTACTGGCTTAGAGACCTCAGGTGCTTCCTCGACAATTGCTGAGGAGTCAAGCACTGGTGCCCCTGCCTCTACCGCCAGTGCCTCTAGTGGTTCCGAAGGATCTTCAACTGAAGCCCCATCTGGTACTACATCATCTGACTCCGGTTCAGAGACCACCCCCGCGGGATCGGTTGCTTCTTCTTCGACTACCAGTGCATCCGAAGGATCTGAAGGATCTTCGACTGGAGTTCCCTCCGGATCCGAGGCCTCGTCTGGAAGCTCTGGTACCTCTGAGCCTGCTGGTGCCACTTCATCTTCTGGACAAGGTGCATCGTCTTCAGCTTCGGCTCCAGAGACTGACAGCACTGGTGTTCCTGTCTCTATTAGCGGTACCTCTATTGGTTCAGAAGGTTCTTCTACTGAACTTGCAACTGAGTCTTCACCTAGCTCTGGTGTAGAGACCACTTCGACTGGATCAGGAGCTTCAACTGGCTCTGGCTCAGAGACCACCGCAGCTGGAGTATCCACTGAACCTATTTTCACCTCATCAGGATTCATTACACGAGTTTCTAGTTCATCGTCGTCTTCCGAAGAGATCACTGACATTTCATCAGGCCCTGATACCTCTACTGGTTCTAGTTCTCCTGCCACCGGCGCTTCTTCAACCTCTGACTCAGGTGCCGCTACTACCTCATCGGAAACTGGAGCAGAGACTTCGAGCTCCGCTGGAGAGCCTTCAGACACTTCATCAGGATCTGGTGGCTCTTCCACTTCAGGTACTCCCTCCGAGAGCTCCAACACCTCCGCCAACCCAGGAGAGTCTTCTTCTGCTGCTGGAGAGTCTTCTGGTATCCCTGCAGAGACTTCTTCCGGTCCTGGCTCTGAGACCACCGGTGCTTCGTCCTCTGGCGCAGGTGCCTCCACCTCATCAGGACCTGAGTCTTCTTCTACCTCTGGTGTTCCTTCTGAGAGCTCCAATACATCTGCCCCCCCTGCTGAGTCTTCGTCTGATGCTGGTGAGTCTTCCGGTACCTCAGGCGTTCCCTCAGAGACCTCTTCAGACTCTGGCTCTGAGAGTGCATCAGCGTCCGCCACTTCTGCAGCCAGTGGAGAGTCTTCGGCGGTTTCTTCATCTGGGCCTGAGTCAACTTCCGGTGGATCTTCTGCTACAACCGATGCTGGCTCGGACACTTCGAGCACTGCAGCTACCGCTGGTGAATCCTCTGGAGCTTCATCTGCTTCTCCTGAGTCCTCTTCTGCCGCTTCGTCGATTCCCACTGAGACGCCTGGCACTTCTACGGGCGCTGAAGAGTCCTCTGCTGCCACATCGGGTACTGCTTCTGAGACTTCCAGTGGCTCTGCCGTGAACACTTCATCTGACAGTGGCGCCTCTTCTGAGCCTGCTACCTCCAGTTCCCCTGAGACTTCCTCGGGTCCCGCTGCCAGCTCGGGCGCTTCTAGTGATTCTTCCGCTGCTCCCACGTCTGCAGCATCTGAGGAGTCTTCTGCTACTTCGAATGGTTCTTCCGAGACTTCCAGTGGTGATAGCGCCAACAGCTCTTCAGATGTTGGTGCCTCATCAACCTCCGGCGCTGGAGCCACTACATCGGATGCTGCTGAGTCTTCGGTCACTTCTAATACCCCTGCGGAGACTTCCAGTGACGTTGGTGTAAACACTTCATCTGATGGCGGTGCCTCTTCCGGTCCCGCTACCTCTGACGTTCCCGAGACTTCCTCAGGTGCCGCGACCAGTGACTCTCCCGCCAGCTCTGCTTCTGCACCATCTGGTGGATCCTCTGCTACATCGGATGTCCCAGCCCAAACCTCTAGTGATGCTGGCGCTAGCAGCTCCTCAGACACCGGTGTCTCGTCTACCGCTGAGGCTGAAACCTCATCTGCACCGGCCGGCGAGTCTTCACAGGCTACATCGGATGCCCCTGCTGAGACTTCCAGTGATGGTGGTGCCAATAGCTCTTCAGATGCCGGCGCTTCGTCTACCTCTGATGCTTCACCAACTTCGTCAGCCGGCTCTGAGTCCTCATCTGCTCCAGTTGAAGAGTCTTCGTCTACAGCTGATGTACCCGCGGAGACCTCAAGCGACGCCGGCTCATCTGCTGCTGCAACATCCTCCGATGTACCTGAGTCATCCTCATCCGGTAGTGAGCCTACCAGCACTTCCGATGGCTCCGGCGCCACTTCTTCTCCCGCAACATCGAGCACCCCCGAGACCTCTTCCGATGTCCCCGCAGAGACATCCAGCGACGCTGGTGTCAACAGCTCCTCTGGTTCTGCCCCTACCACCTCTTCTGATGCGGCCGAGACTTCTTCGGCTGGTACCGAACCGACCAGCAGCTCTGATACTGCCGCTAGTACCACTTCATCACCCGCTGAGGAGTCGTCATCACCAGCTACCTCAGATGCCCCCGTGACCTCTTCTGACGCTCCCGTTGAGACTTCTAGTGATGTTCCAGCCAGCTCCGAAGAGGCTGAGACTTCATCTGCCCCAGCCACGTCCTCTGACGCTGAGACGACTTCTGCCGGCACTGAGCCTACCAGCAGCGCAGCCGATACCTCATCAACCGCTGCCGCGACATCTACTCCCGAGTCCTCTTCCGCTGCTCCTGAGACCAGCGCTGAGCCCACCTCATCTGCTGCAGAGACGTCTGCTGAGCCTGCTACAACCGAAGCTCCAACCTCCGCAAGCCCAACCAGTCCTGAGGCTCAGACATCCTCCTCTGCAACTGAGTGTATCCCCTCACCAAACGTTTCGGGTACTTGTACCGTGGCTCTCCCCGCTGCCTGTGCACAACTCGAGACTACCAACGGTCTAGCTCTAATCCCCGTCCTCGCTCTCTGCACCACTGCCCTCGGGCCCTATGCCGTTGGTAACGTTGCCTCCTGTCTCGCAACCACCCCCATCGTTGGCTCTTCTGGTTTGAGTATCTTCAACTGTGTCGTTGATGCCTTGGAAGAGCGTTGCATCACAACTCTTCCCGACGCTTGTACAGATCTGGCAAATGCCAATGGCCTTGAGCTTGTCGCCGATGTTGCCGTTTGCGCTGTTGCTCTCGGTCCCTTTGCCGCTGGAAGTGCTGCGACATGTCTGTCCACTGGCGACATCACTGGCTCTACAACAGGTACAAGCATCGTTGAGTGTCTTGAGATTGCTTTTGGCCTTGCGTCCGGGTCAGGTACCGTTACTGGCATCCCATACTGCGCTGAGTCGACGACTACGCCAACGCCAACGCCTACGCCAACCCCTCAGCCGGCCTGCTTCACACTTCCCGATGCCTGTGAGTCCATTGGAAGTTTGACTGGTTCCGTCGCTATCGGTGTAGCCGCTCCTGCGTGTAGAACAGCACTCGGCGCTTACAACACAGGTACCGTGGCGTCTTGTACCACCTCGGGTATCGGTCTCTTCACGTCTGGCTCAGTTGTCGTTAATTGTCTTAACAATGCCCTCTCTGGGGTGTGTATCTCAACACTCCCAGCGGCTTGTTCCAGCTTGGCTGGGCAGAATGCCGTTCAGCTTGCCTTGAACCTTGGTGCCTGCGACACTGCTCTTGGTCCTTTCGGAGAGGGAGCGGCGGAAGATTGCTTGAGCGTTCTTCAGGGCAGCGGCGACGCTGTTGTGAGCTGTCTCAACAATGCACTTTTCTTTCCCACTACGGCTAGCTTGGCTAGATAATGGTAACCCCTAGTATGGCTGGGCGAGAGGATGAAGTGTTTGTCTGTGGCAATTTTCTTTTTGTAATCTTTTCCTTGCGTAACTTATTAAATCTTGGAGAATATTAGTATCATTCCGATAACTGTTCAAGATGATCTTATAGGGCCACATCGTGCTTATGGGTCCAGGTAACTCAAAAGCTAGCCAGCCAATCAAATGATATTAGCTAAGCAATTAGTTTTAATCCCTGTGATGAACAAAATAACCGCTGTACTAAAGGCCTAAAAAAGTGTAGGACCTACACTTGGGGCCTAAGGTAATAGGGCTTGTATTTTGTATAATACCCCTTGGGGAGCAAGAAAACACCGGACCTCGATATAGGGTATTAAAATAAACTTAGCAAAAAGTAACCTAAACTTAGGCTAGTTTACCTAAGTATTTTTATCATTTAGGGCTAAGGTCTTGGGTTTTGTTTCCTCCCCTAGCCTGTTAACGCTTGAGTGCAGGGCCTATAAGCATGATGTGGCTCTATGGAATAGTTACTGAGCTAGTACAGTAGCTCGTAATAGTCAATTCACTTCCTTTCTACCTACTACTATATCAAGCCCTCGAGTCCTTTGCCTTTCACTCCTTGTGCATAGCCATGTCATCCATCTTCTTCTGTCCAATTGCATTAGCACCAACAGGAGCATCAGGCCCATCAAAGATCTCGGCCACTTCCTCAAGAGAATAGCCCTTGGTCTCTGGGAAGAAGAAGAAGATCAAAGTCAAGTGAACAGCAATCGCAACACACCAAACAATGTAGTACTTCCAAGCAATAGCCTCCATAGCAACAGGGTTGGCGAAAGCGTTGTAAACACCCGCCAAATTGCCAGTGAGCTGGTACAGCATAGATGCCTTTGCACGGAGCGAGTATGGTGTGACTTCCATGATATAAGTGGCTCCAATGGGAGAACATGCGTGATACCAGAAAGAGAAGACAAAGATCATGGCCAGAACTGCACCAGCGTAGCCCATATGTTCAAAGTTCTCCTGCTGGTTGCGGGCAGAGCAGATTGTCCAGATGATGTATGATACACCCATACCCGACATACCAACGAGGAAGAGTCTGCGTCGACCAAACTTGTCAATCATGGTGGCGAATACGACAGCTGACAGGAAGCCCCAGATTTGGAGACCGGCGTTGAGAAGAAGCTGGGTCTTGTGGTCGGTGATGTTGATCGAGTTGAGGACCTTGGCAAGATAGTAAGAGGTGAGAGCATTGCCGGACCACTGCAGCATGGCGGGGATGTACAAAGCAAGGAAGAATCGATGCCAGTTGCCGCGAGTAGAGATCCACTCGGCCCAGCGCGACTTCTTCTGAACCTTCTCGATCTCGAGCGTCGCTGTAATCTCAGCCATCTCAAAGCGGGCCAATCGAGAGTTGGGGTCTCCGTATCCGTGCCACTTGACAAGAATATCCTTAGCTTCCTGATAACGACCCTTGTAGATGAGCCATCGAGGAGACTCAGGTGCAAACAGGACCAACGAAGCCTGAACAACAGAGAAAGCGCCCTGAAGAAGACTGGGAAGACGCCATGCCCAAGAGCTCTGCATCTGGAAGCTTCCGTACGTGACCCAAGCCGCAATGATAGCACCCAGTGGCCACGAGACCATCATGAAAGATGTCATCTTTCCACGGTGCGTTGGATATGTAACTTCGGAGAGGAGAGGAGGCGCCGCAGTGGAAACAATACCGAGACCGAAACCGATGATGAAGCGCGAAGCAACAAACATGCCATAATTATACGAGCAGGTCTGGACAATCGCGCCAACAATGATAGTAATCGATCCGATAAAGATAGGTTTTCTTCGTCCAAGCCAATCACAGAGCTGGGATGAAATGAGGATGGAAATGAGAACACCACCGTTGGGTCCAAACGTCATAGCGCCGAGACGCGTCCCCTTGGGTTGGCCGAAATATTCCTGCCATTGAGGCAGCGACTGCGCTCCATTGAGCATACTCGCGTCAAACCCGGTGGCGGTTTGAGTCAAGAGACCGCTGAGGAGGAGGAGGTTGAGTTTCCATAATGTCCAGTCGGAGTACCATGGCTTGCGATCGCGGGGAATGACATCGGCGAGGACGAGACCCTGGAAGTCATTGGCGTCGGCGTCGGGGAGGTGAGTTTCTTCGGCAATTTGCTTCGACATCTTGAAGAGAAGAACACTTGACTCAAGTGGAAGTAAAGATGGTTGAGTCTGGTGTTTGTGTTTCGTTTTGACGATCCCCACAGTCCTTTATATCTATCAATCAGAGTTTGTGGGGTTGGAACCAAGGTGACAGTGACATTTCCCTCTCCGGTAGATGAACCGAGGAACTCGTACCATCCATCAGCCAAGATGAACCCCAAAACTTGCTTGTGGGGGAGACTTTGACCGATGCCCGCTGCACATTTGCGGGTTTTTTACCCCGGATCTACCCCAGATTCGTTAACGCGCCGTGGGGTCTTTGGGCTCGGTTTGGTTAGAGGGTCAGTCCCCGCACGTGAGCGTGACCAATATTCTTGGTTCGGGGCAAACGGAGCCGATGGGGGGCATTGGACCGGCAGCGGGAGAAGGGCCGGAGGTCGTTACTCCGGGCATTTCGATGCCAAATTCCCAGATCATTAAAGCGAAAAAAGGAAAGAATATGCAGATGACTGGCGAGTTTGTTGCAGCTAACTCGTACGCTTAATTGGCATGGAGATCATCCATATCGCTCAATTTGTTAGTCATCCTTGGAATACTGTGAAGGTGCAGGGTAACTTGAAGTGTAACAAAGTACTGAGGATTAATTGATCGCGTTATCACCTTGATTGCACAGAATATCTGAAGTAAAATTGTGATGTCAGGCTTAAAGTATTTCAGCATCGTTTTATGATTGCAGCTGCGACGGTTTCATTTCTTGATGGCAATGGCATAATTACAGATTATCAATGAAAGAAATTAGCTGTAATTTAATACATAAAGCATGCGTCGCAAAAGAAAGTTTCTCGGATTGAAAACTTGCATCCACTTATTCTGTGCGCCAGAGTGCTTAATAATATAGTATATATTTAAGTCTTAGTTAATTCACGATATGCTCTAAAGTTTTCATTGTCTTTTACGTATCTTTTGCAGCAAGCAGTTAATTGCATTGCTTGTGAAGTTATCTTATCAAGGATAAGATAAGATAATAGAAGACAAGCTAAGATAAGCTCAGATAAGCTCAGATAAAACCACTAACCCGGAGCAAGTCCTCCACTGTTCACGATTTAGACACGAATTAAATCGAGTAGAACTACACTCCCGCTCTCGAATTCCTGCTGGGAGCCCAATGACACCAAAGTTCTCACTGTACCTCTCTTGCCTCTCTACCCGACATGGACTATTGGCAACAAAATGCATGTCTCAGGCCTTCAGTTAGCCACCGAGAGCTGAAATGCTGAATGGGGTTAAGCGCTCATGGCTTGAACTGTAGGGACTCACTTCTGAGAACCGCCAACTGAGGGAATACGACCTCACCAGCGGGGTAATATGCTCAGCGATTAAACAGATGCGAAAGTAGCTTAGTGTCAAGCCTGGAGTTGCAACCTGCTTTACGAAATCGGATCCTAAAATACTTTAATAGTTGTGCTCAGCTAGCCACTGACTGGGCAATAGTGAGTTGGCACTCAGGCTAACAAGCTCGGGTCTAGAACACCACGTATCCATTCTCTATCACATACCTTTCAGCTTTCAAGCCTACATGCATTTCGTGGCGTATGCAATGTGATATCTTGTGATGATTATGGACACATATGTTTGTGATTGAGAATTTGAGAGTAATGTGATAGTGAACTGCTGGAATCTCAGCCAGCCACTTAAGTGGCGCCGCCATTGATTCGTCTGTTGCCTGCATACCCAGGCCCAGCTCCAGCTTCGATTGACCGAAAAGAAAATACTACATAAAGCACGCAATTGCGACACGTTCTCTTCGAAGTCACAAGCAAGCAATCAAGAATTAGACATAACCCCACAATTGATCCCCCAAGAAAACATGGCTTCAACATTCGACCTCGCTACGGATGAGTTTCTCACTTGTGAGATTCATTCCGAGAGCACCCTCCCACTTCTGAGCTACTTCATCGAGTGTAAGAAGCACAACCAGAATGGCTCCAGAAGGATATTCCAGAAAGTCAAGTCAGAAATCGGAGATGCGGATCGTCCCATCCCCGACGAGTCTGAGCAGTTGCAAGATGTCCTGCTGGCTCTTATGAAAGATGGACCGGGAAAACCTGGCGAGAAGATCCCCGGTTGCCCAACAGTGAGTACCTTCAGAAATCTTCTCTGAGATATGCCCCGCTAAACGTGAGTAGGTCACTATCGTTGGCGCTGGTGTGTCTGGCCTTTGTGCTGGCTATGAGCTCAAGAAAGCTGGGTTCAAAGTCACCATCCTTGAGGCCTCTTCCCGAGTCGGCGGACGCGTCAAGACCTTCCGCGAACCATCTTTCGCGCATGGTCTTCATGGCGAGGGCGGTGCCATGCGCATCCCCGCGAATCACTACCTACTACACAAGTACATCGAAGACTTCGGTCTAAAGCCCCAGCTGTTCGACTTTGAGATGAAGAACAAATTCATCTACATTTCAGGCTACGGTGAGACGCTTACTTACGATCGCTTCAATCAGCTTCTGCATGACAAAGATGCTAAGCTGCTCTCCCTCTTTCCTGGCCTCCGTGAATGCGAAAAAGGCAAGACGTGTGACACGCTATTCACAGACGCTGTTAGACAGGTCGTGGATGACTTTTGGGATGCTTACAAAAAGGCCGCTGATGAGGTCTCGTTTCCCGAGAAGATTCAGGTCCAAGCTATCAAGGACGCATATGCCGCGATTACCAAGAAGTATGATAGCTACACGCTACGATCTTACTTGACTGATGTCGCGGGGTGGAGTGAAGATGCTATCAATCTGTATGATCTTGGCAATGCTCATGTCGTCTTCGAGAATGGCTTCATTGAGTCTTTCAAGGATGCCTTTCTGTCAAGTAACAAAAGCGGTGCGCAGGCGGGCATGCAGCAGCTTCAGGAGGGTATGGATGTTGTGCCCAATGCTTTCGTCTCTAGCGAGAGAAAAGAAAGTGAGTTACTTCTGCGCCTTCGCTGAAAACATCCTTGGCTAATGCTGTACAGAATCGTTGGTTGATGATATCATCTATGGTGCTCGAGTTACCGAGATAGGTATCCATGAGCAATCGGACCCCCAAATCCCTCTCCAAGCTCCGGTCAAGGTGACCTACGAAGTCACAGCCAACAGCTTGAAGAAATCCATCAACTCTGACTATCTCATCCTCGCAATCCCGTACACGGCGCAGCGAACAATCGCCAAGTCAAAGCCCTTCGTTCCCATGCAGGAAATGGCAGTTCGAGATGTTCGCTACGTGGAAGTCACCAAGATCCTCCTCCAGTACAAGAAGAGATGGTGGGAGAAGGTCTTTACTGAAGCGGGCCAGGGCCTAGACGGTGGTCTCGTCAGCGATCTTCCTATCCGTTACACCATGTTCCCCAAAACAGACGGTAACACCCAGTTCGAACATTCTAACCGCGGTGTCATCATGGCAGCATACACCTTTGAACAAGACGCCACTATCCTTGGATCCCTCTCTCCAGAGCGACGGATCCAGATCGCCGCTGAGAACCTGAACAGGATCTTCCCCGAAGCCAAGTCTCTTGACCTTCTCGAAGCTGGAGCATCTCAGGTCTTCCCAGCTGATGAGCTGGCTGGTGGAAGTGCTTTCTGTTACTTCGGTCCTATGCAAAAGACCAAGTTCTTGGATACTATGCAGAGGCCTGATTGGGAGAATAGGGTATTCTTTGCAGGTGAGCAGGCTAGCTTTACTCATGGATGGATTCAAGGTGCCTTTGAAGCAGGGCTTCGATGTGTTCAGCAAATCTGGTCTGTTGCTGTTAAGGGTAAGGCACAGTGAGCAAGAGAATAAGATTCGCATCGCCTATTTGAGCTTAGCTAGTAAGAAAACATTCAACTGCAGAGGAACATAGCCCAAGCTTCAATCTTGATGCACGTTTATAGCACGGTTGTTACATAGCTAGTCAGAATGCTACGGATGAACAGGGTGCCCTCTAGCCATTGGGCTAAAAAGTAATCGCTAAGCCCCGGCTAGTAATTTGCTTAGCCCCCGCTAGTAAAATATTAAACCACCACTTGAATCCTTTCTATTAAAAGGACCCCAATTCCACTTTAATTATACATGGTTATCCATGTATACAATCTCCTCTCGAAACGGAATTCCGTTCAATACCCCTGCTTTTAAGCAGTTAAGCTTCTTTAAGTTCCCTAGATTGAGACTGCGCAGCATTATGCACATAACCAGGCTGTGCAGATCCTTTCTAGAAATCCTTTAATTAAAATCCTTTACGAAAACTCCTTCTGGCGACGGCAGGATCATTTGAAATGGAGACAGCACTAGGCTATACAGCCGAGTAAAGTAATATAAGACATCGCATCACCTCTGGCAATAAACGATCATCAGCCAACTACTTCTACTTCGCTACCAATTAACTCAAGACTCTAGAGCCATGCCTTCTGCCATTAACCGAGTGAAGGCCTTTGGCCTTTTACTCCTCGGTTTACCTTCCAGCACTCTCGCTAAGCCAATAGAGATACAGCCACGCCAAAATGTCCCTGGCGACACGCCCTTCGTCAGCTTTGATGCTTGTAGTGATTCTCAACGCCAGGACATCGAGAAGGCTTGGGCCGATGTGGTCACGCTTGTCGGCGTTTCGAAACAGTTCAATCCTCCCGGGACGATTGAGTCTAGGATCTTTGGAGATGACATCAGCCTAAGATTCGAGGATATATCCCGTATATACAGTGAGAGCCTCTGCTTTGTGTCAAGCGGGAAACGTCACGAGCTAACAGTAAACAGCTATTTTCCACAATATCGAAGAACTGAGCAAGAATGGGCGCAAGATGCAGATTTCTTGCCAAGATGTCTACCAGGACCACAGGGCAGCAAATGACCAAGTTACATGTGGAAATGTGATTCAGTCTTCATCTGGCTCCATCGGCGCCTACGCATTTTCCACCGAGGCCATCATCGAGAAGTCCACCATTGTTCTTTGCAGTCCCTTTTGGGCGCCCGGTCAAGAGTTTCTCGGAGAAATAGTCGACAATCTCCGAAACGCGCCAGAAGGTGACAGAAAGAACCCGAATCTCATGGTCGGCAAGGGTAAAATTCTACTTCACGAGCTGACACACCTTCCCGCACTGGCAGAGACATCGACAAATGACGGTGAGTGGTTTTCGTCGCAATGATCATTGAGCTACAAATGCTGATGGAATTCTCAAGTTATTGTCACCGATCAACTTCTCAATGACGACTCGAATGTGAAGGCCTATGGGATTAGAATGGTGGAAAGACTCGCCAGAAACAAAAATTGGCGTGCTCGTACGGCCAAGAATGGTAGGCAGCAAGCAACCTCTAAAAGATTTGGCACTGACTGATTCTTTTATTTACAGCTGATAGCTACGCATGGTATGCGACCGAGAAGTACTTTGAGGGCATGTTCGGCACACCCAACGCAGCTTATGAGAAGAGAGATGGAGAAGAGGATGATACTCCGACTGAGGATCCAGCGCCTCCGGCAGGTCCCACCAAGGCACTCAATATCATCCTCGAGAACAAGCGCCATGGAGTCCCGATGGATAAAGACTTCTATGACACAATGAACTGGCTATTCTACTCCACCGACTTTGGGACTGCATCGCAGTGTGCGCTCAACCCCGCTCTCGCCATTCATGCCGACGTATCTATTGATACTCTATCGATTGACGCTCTGAGAGACGACCACTTTCCTGGAGGCACATTCGATGTCAAGACTCAAGATGGAGACTGCCAGTATGAGAACGATGGCACAGGAAACCCAGGAGCTTTATGGTGTGGTGACCAGGGACACTCATGCAGGGCACACCCGGATAGACGGACCTTCACCTATTGCCGTGACCTTGACAAGTCTGCGCAGATTCAGCATGCAGCTATGGTTGTTTGTGAGTGGTAGCCTTGAGATCTTGGTCAGAAAGAGTGCTCACTGGTAGGTTAGAAACCGGTGGTGGTCCAGATATCGTTTGGACTCGAACCTGGTTGGATATTTAATTAATGTTGTTTAACCTTGAATATATTTGTGAATCTTGTCATCACCAAGATCTATTACCGTAGTAACTATCCATTTATACTGCAAATCATGTATACCCCATATAGTGGAAAGTTAGGCTGTGGCAAGACTTCACCCAAGACCGGCAAACAAGTGGTGAACTGGGCTATCTGTTGGTCTAATTCTACATGGAAGATGTAATAGACTTAGAAGTGGGTAGGTAGTCTCCTACAAGGCAGTTACAAAGTTCAACAGACTGGAACTTGCTGTAAGGAATAAATACTAGAACTATGATAATAAGCGGTAGAGCGATGTATAATTTCGTAGCGCTTTTTGTAAAAGTATTCCGCTAGATACATCGATGGCCTAGATACATCATCTCCCTAGCCTAAACCATTGAACACAATATTCCACCCTGGACTACGCATCTAGGCCGAGCTCTTGAAATGGAAACCTACTTGAGAGTGATTCTTAGTATATTAGAAATGCTCTCCTGACAGTGCCATTAGCGGCCAATGGTCATGGCTTGAGTACGCCGGTCCAGCTACAGACCCCTGGCGCATCAAGTGACAACTGTGACATTTGACGAATCATATCGTTCGCCGCAGTCTCGTTTTGAACGTCGTATTCGCACTTGAACCTTTTCAAGTCGCCCCATGAGTTCTTGAATCCGGGGATGTCATCCCAGTTCTCGGCCCCAGCACGCTTATTCAAAAGTGACTCATACTCATCCTGCTTCTTTTCTTTGACTGCGGTCAGGATCTTTAGCAGATCATCGAGGCTCGTCTTATGTGTCTTTGTGCCTCGTGGAGGCTTGATCCCATAGATACTCTTGGTCAACTGTAGCCATTTATTAGCGATCTAGTCTGGAGGCCTGGACTCTTGATGCTGACAGTAATGGTGAGGGTGTCAAAGTCAGGCTTTGACATGCGTGCTGTGATGGTTCGCACATCACCCGGAAATAGCAGATTCGGGGCTTTCCATTGATCTGTCTTAACGGAGAAACTCTCTTGTAGCATTTTGCACAGTTCTCCAGAATTGATTGTCGCGAAGTTATTATCCGGGCCTTCGGACGAGAGAAGATTGGCCAGAAAACCAGAGACCAATGGCGCGGCTAAGCGGGTCTGTCAGCATTCGAAGGAAAGGACTTAAATAAGGAAGAGTATCACCAACTTACCGAACGATGTGCCTGACATGGTCAAGCTACTACCTGGCACTGCTATATCCGTACCCGGTGCGTAGATGTCCACCACTGTGGTTGCCTTGTTAGATCTTCGTAGACTTCCCTCACTGGGTACCTCGTTTACGTACATGGCCCATAGCATGATTGCTTGTTGATCTCACCCTTCTTGTCTGTGTTACCGACAACTATCACTCCGGGCTCGCATTGAGGCCAGGCCTTGGATGTTCTAGACAAGCATGTCTTGAATCCCATGTCAGCAAAGCGTCCACAAGTCTGTTTCGCCGTTTTCTTACTCCACTGTTTCCAGCTGCAGCCACCGGAATGATGTTGTACTCTTTTATCAACTGCTGAAGAATGCCTGATGCGATTCGAACAGCACCGGGCTCCGGGTCAAAAAGCCCCCAAGACATGTTCAAAACGACACGACCGGACACCTTTTTGTTTTGGATTGCCCATCGAAGTCCAGACAGTGCGCATGACACAAACCCTTGGGTGGGCATCGTGCCCAAGAAGTAGTGTATTCTGACACTTGCTTTGGGAGCGACTTTCAAACTTGTTAGGTACCGCCTAGTAGGAGCGCCGATGGGTACCTACTGCCATGATCTTGCCCACAGGCAATGTTGGTGACTACGGTGCAATGGTCTTCGGCCTTACCGACCTTTGGACAGGCATTGATGGTAAAGGGACGATTAGCCTAGAACATCCTACTTAGCTGACACGACTCCTGGTGGAGATATCTGCAAGGCACCTTACCTCTATGTCGTTTTTCAGATAACCTTCCCCGTCTAAGATGAAGATGGTCACATTCTCTCCCTTCTTGTTCATGACTGCTGTGTCTCTGACCCATGAGTTTGGAAGAGCCCGGATCTCGTCGAATCTGACATCCGACAACGTGACCTTGGACGCCCCCCAGTTAGAGCAGGGCTCTTCAGTGACGACATATTTTTCGACAACTACGTTTGGAGTAAAGCAGAGCAGTTCCTGCAACACGTCAGTCCAGGGAGTCCGGATCGATATTCGATATCGAGTAGCCTTACAGGAGATGCATTGATTGCCTTCACAACATCGGGATGGAAGTAGCCAACGTACATTGTGGCAGGACTGTCCAGCGTTGCCTCTATCCCTGGAAAACTAGTCGAGCCTAAGGATGGATTATCTTGGCTGAGACTTCGAATCTTGTCGATATGGGCATCCCTAACGGCCTGGGAGATGTGAAAACTATCATCCTTCAGTTGGACGACCCCCGCACCATCCAGTACTTTAACGCCCTGCAAATTGTTCAACTCTACCTGGTCAATTGACTTGAGAGCTGGTAGGGTCTTAGGACTATGCAGTCACATATATTAGTCATAGCCTGGCTATGTTCAGTGTGATGGAGTGACATACGGTTGAGGTTTGGTATTGTCTTTCACACTGCGATTAGCGACTGGCACGGAATGCCGTATCGTAGTCTCTTGCTGAGGCATGGTGAAGATACGTTCTGTTAGGCTCTGAATGGGGTAAAAATGAGAGGCGTAGAACACTTTGACTTTGGTTTTATGTCCTGATAACGTTTGAAAAAGCACAAATTACGAGGGGGATCTTTCTCGTGATAACAACTGTGATTCAGGTTTGAGTCCATATAGATCTGTG